GGACATTGCATTTTGGCTCATGCTTTTACACCTGGTTTTGGAACATCAAAGTCGTCTTCCCCTTGAATTTGTAGTTTGCTTTCCTCTTTCTTCTTTTCGCCCTCCAATTACAGCATGATTATCTAGTGTCATTGTTCACGTTCTGTTCTGTTTGCGAATGGTTTCTTTGAATTTCCAACCTTACCAATCTGTTCATGAGCTTCTTCTCTGTATACAATTATGGCACACTGTGTGTACAATTGAAACCTAGACAGTGAAGTTTTCATTCGCATGGCAACTGTCCGCAAGTATTTGTAATTATGCTACAGGTTTCATTTTCCGGGAAAATTGTTCAATATACACATGTATACTATTTGTTTGTTTATCTAATCCTGGTGCTTTCTAGTCTAGTTGTTTCTTCATTATTAATGAGTTAGGCATTATTGTTAACTGCTACTATGCATCTGTACATTATTAATGGGGCGGTGCTATCCACACGCATCTTTTTACCTCTCACATACCCGCTGTTAATTTATGTCCCTTTATCCTATTCAATTCATTCAATTCGACGGCCTGAAATTAAGAGGTGTGTCGAAGGTAAAAGGGTTGTGTCCAATCACAATGCTGTGTGAATTATTATTTTTTCATTCACTTTGGTTCAGTCATTTTCTCCTTATTAACGGGATAAATTGCATGTTTAACTGCTTTCGATGCAGGCATCCTATCTTGATGGAAGCGGTGATGATCACTAGGGGAAGTTAGCTGGAAGTAGTTCTTCGATTACCTATGAGGCTTATTTATAAAGGAATATGGTTAGCTTTGAACTCTTTAGAGATATGTTTATTGTTGATTATCAACTAGTCTTGCTATCTTGGTCTAGACCCGCAATGTGAGTAGCGTGTCTTCTCTTCCCCTCACACGCTTCGTCTAATCCAACGTTAATTGTACCTGTTAGTGTTGGCCTCTCCTGTATTGCATATGTTATGCCCTCGTGTTTGACAGCACTCTACTCTATTGAGAAAAGTAAAAAAGGAAGTCGTCGGAGAATTTTGATTGTTGCTATATATAAGTGAGTTTGGGTTGTTTCGATATCGATTCCCAGATCGAACGCGATTGCGTTGTTGTTTTTCTGTAGTCTTTTGCAATGTGTGAGATTGGGGAAACAATAAATCAGGTGCTGCTGAGCTGAGATGCGGTTTTTCCTGGTTGTCCCAACCAAACCCTAAATACTAACCAAATGGCCGATGACTAATAAGCAATAAGAGTTAGTTTTGGTTTGCTTCATACCTGGGTTTGGTTAAGCAATAAGAAAATTTTCAGTGTGACCGGCACATGAGGTGGTACATCACATGTCACTATACAAATGGTGAGATATGCATGTTAAAAAATTAATAACTTAAAAAAAAAAAAATTCCTACCATTTATATAAAAACACGTGGTGTACTACCCGTGATCTCGTTTCAATGTTTTAAAGTCCGTACTCTTCTAAAAAATGTTCTAAAGTCCGTACAGGCTATGAAACATAATTGATAAGTTATTAGTGCTTCTTGTTCATTTAGGGTTTCTTTTTCTATAATGTAGTGGCGGATTCAAGATTATAACGTCGTGTGGTACCAATATAAAAGTTTCAAAATAATTTAGACAAAACAATATTACAAACTACAAAGACTTAATTTGTCTATGATGAAGTTTCATAATTGAATACGTTTATGATATTCATTATCAATAGACTAAATTTTCTCTGGATTTATTCTATTCATTACTTATGGGCATGAGCAAAACCACCATATGAACCGAGAAGGAAAACTCTATGTAGTTTTTTTTATAAATCATATTGCGAATCCAACATTTTCATCCAGTATACATTAATTTCATTGCTTAACATTCTATACATAGGAACTTGGATCAAAACTTACTCAATTTGAAAATCGGGGATTATGTGGTGGCGTAGAGTGATGGATCATGTGCTGGTTGGAAACGAGATAAGTTGACCCGGTGATGGTGGCCCTGTGGATAAATTGGGGTTAGCGTAATTGAATGGTTGGAATTTTGGGGAGTGGAGGTTTGTAAAGAAAAATGGGCGTTATTGGGTCTCGACAAGGGACTAGGATCCTCTCCTGAGCTAAGGATGAGGATCCTCCTCATCAATGAGTGTGGGCCGTTGGATGAAAATCCAACGACTACAAACAGGGGGTCTCTTTAAAGTTATAATAATTGTAGCCGTGGATTTTCATTCAACGACCCACACTTATTGATGAGGAGGATCCTCATCCTTAGCTCAGGAGAGGATCCTGGTCCCTCAACAAGAAGGAAAGAGAGTTCATTTTTAATTTTTTAATGACCTCGCTCACCATGATGTCATTTGGTCAGGGTTTTTTATTTTTTATTTTTTTATTTTTTATTTTTATTTTTTTTTATGAACAATACTTGACTAGTCAAATATGAGTAAGAACTCTTATTCAAAATTTCTCAAAATTGTTCGTTGTCAATTTATAAAATTTCGTATTTATAATCAGAACCGTTCAAATTATAAATTATCCTATAAAGATCGCATTTACAAAAAATCAATTAAAATTAAGGTCGTTTAGTCATCAAATTGTTTGAAAACAAGTGAATGGTATTGATAAAAGTATTACGAACCATCTATGTATTTGCTACAATATATTGACTAAACTACCTTAGTTTTATTTTTTAATTTTTTGCATAGATGATCTTTACAGTGTGATTTATAGTATGAACTGTTATGATCATAAACACAAAGCTTTGTGATTAAAACACTAAGAGTTTTGTGTAGGAGCTCCAACTTATTTTTGAGCTGTCAAGTATTGTTCTTTTTTTTTATTATAAACTATAGTCTTGTTTTCTCATCTGCTACATGTCGCTGCTGTACATGCACATCGAGGTTTCCTCAATTTCAGCACCTACCCATCTGTTGGGTGGTCCTTGAAGGTCCTTACCTCATAGGTAATTCTCCATGTATTCGGTGGTCCCGTGAGGTCATCTTTAATTGACCAAGCCAAAGGGCCATCGGTTAAAAATAGCTCAAAATGACACAAAAACAGTCTCCAACCGAGAGTTAGGTCAAAGGGTTTGTGGGCCCCACTGAGCCAAAAACTGAAATTAGGCAAGCATGCTAGCCTCATCCAGCCAGCCTTCTCCCAGCCCAACAATTCAAATGCAACGATAACCTGGCGTCATCATGACGTTCCTACACCATTTCTCACATAATTTTCACCATTTCATACTATCTTACCTCATTTTATTTAAATTCTTCACATTCTATTCTCCTACCTCTTCCAATAATCTTTCCTTCAATTTTTTCAATAATTTTCAAATGGTCACATCTACAATGAAAGGAAGGGTTTGAACCCGAAAAGAAGATGAAGTTCTTTGCAGGGTTTATAGATGGGTCATGAAAGATTGTGTCAAGAAGAATTCTCAAACAAGTGAAGGTGTTTGGACTCGTACGTCCAAAAAGTACTATGAGTTCTACGAAGGCACCACTCCACCGAATCCCCGAAACCACGAGAGTTGTTCTTCAAGATGGAAAAAAACATCTTCAACCAAGTTTGAATAAATGGCATCAAGCAGTGTTAAACGCCCAAAGCAGACATGAAAGCGGAGCCAATTACTATGACGAAGTAAGTGTTTTCACAAGTTATTTTAAATATTTAATTATATTACATTTAATTTCATAAATTAATTTCCTTGAATTTTTGTAATTATATTTTCTAGGTACGCCAAGCGGAGGAATTGTATATAGAGGACATGAAAAAGCCCTTTAGTCATCATGGTTGTTGGAAAATTTGTACAGTGTGGGTGTTATTTCAAGATCCACCTCAAAAAAGATTTGGTCCTACGCCGGTGTTCAGAAATGTTTCCTCAAATGCAGTTGGGGATGACCAAGGATCTCTTATCATTCAAGAAACAAGGGTAGATAATCCGTCTCTAGGTGAATCTTCCATACCTAGGGTTATGGGACGAAACAAGGCCTGAAGATGGATGATATGAACATGCAAAGGAACACTTTGGAGTACACTCTAATGAGTAGGACATATTTTGATAGGAAAAAGAGGGAAATTATGGCTCAACGAGAGTTGTTTACATCCGACTATACTCCTACAATGGCGGATGAAGATGATGATTATATTCTTTAAATTGAAGTTGTTGTAGTTTTTAAATTTAAGTTGTTGTACTCTTTAAATTAAACAACATTAAACATCATGAAACTTAAACAACATTAAACAACACAATCTCTACCCTAGTACTACTTGGGGGAGTTATTCAAACTTAAACAACATTAAACAAAACATTTAACAACATAAATCTTAAACGCACTCCATGGTTCTTTTCACCGAAAGATGTGCAACACGATCCTGTTGTAGGTACTAGTCTGTGGCACGTGAACGTATCATCTTATAGCGTCTCATGTACTCATTTAAAGAGATATTACCAGTTCTTGGATCCAAAGGCAAATTAGGTCCATCATATATTTTCGTACTAGCCCTCCTTGACCTATTTAGGTTGTCATCAGACTCTCCATCAATATAGCCATCTCGCTCATCCTCCACAATCATGTTGTATAATATGATGCACGACATCACGATGAAGTTCAATTTATCTTGACTCCACTCTCTTGCCGGTTTCTTAATGATCTTCCACCGTGCTTGTAGAATACCGAAAACTCTATCAACATCTTTCTTGTATGCCTTTTGGTGTAAGGTAAACCACATTTGGGTATCATCCACAGGGTTTGCAATTGCTTGGACAAATGTCACCCACTTTAGGTAGATGCCATCTGCCAAATAATACCTTATATTGTACTGACGCCCATTGATGTAGTATTCAAGTTGAGGTGATTTACCTTCCGTTAGGTTATTAAAGAGGGTTTAACGCCCAAATACTGTAATGTCATTTTGGGATCTTGGGACTCCAAAGAAAGTATGTCAAATCTATGTGTCAAACGAGGCAACCACCTCTAACACAACAGTTGGCTTTCTAGATATTCCGCTAAATCCTCCTTACCATCCGGTGGGACAGTTCTTCCACTGCCAATGCAAGCAATCTAATAACCCTATCATGCCCAGAAAGCCACGGTCTTCAGCTTTGCGAAGTAGCTGAGCCATATCTGCTTGATTTGGTTCACGGGGGTACTCTTCTTTGTAAATCTGAACAACTATGTGACAGAATTAAGCAAGATTATCAAGGCATGTAAACTCAGACATACAATATGTATCATCTATCGCATTAGCTGGGGAGGCATAGGCCAACATTCGGAGTGCAATAGTAACCTTTTGATGAGGTGATAAACCAGGGCGGCTTGCTCTGTCCATCTTCTGTCGAAAGTATGGATTAACATGTTGGACATCATAAAGTAAATGCTCGAAGACATGATGCCTCATCCGGAAGTGACATTTGAAATCTTCTTCTGTGTACACCGAGTTGAAGTTGAAGTAGTTGTTCATCAAAGTCTTATGCACCATCTCTCTATTTCGTGGTTTGTAAGAGCGACCAACAACAGAGCCACCTTATTGAGGTTGTTCTTCAGTTTCTTCACACGCCATGACCCCAACCATTGTTGCCATATATGTTGTGTTGCGCCATACTTCATCTTCTTCATCGAACTCCTCATCTTCTCGTCTCATTTGCGCCCATTTATCTTCCAAATTGAAATTGGATGAGGACCCCCAATTGGAATGCGAAGATGATCCAAAGTTGGAATTCATTGCAAACTTGAATTGAAAGAGATATTGGAGATGGCAAAGATGAAGGTGTGTGAATTCTACCCCAATTTCCAGCCAATTTATTAACATTGGAAGCTGAAGATAAGAAATACCACGTAGATAAGAATCCCATATAAAATTTGGAGAGTTATTCATATTACATAAAGATAAGAAATCTGGAGAGTTACTCACTTTAGTGACACGTGGCACTCAAAATCGTATTCGAAAAATTATTGAGATTACATAAAGATAAGAAATCTGGAGAGTTACTCACGTTAGCGACACGTGTCACTAGAAGTCATACCTAAAAAATTATTGAGATTATATAAAAATAAGAAATTCGGAGGCTTATTCATTTGGCAACAAGCGACACTCAAAATATGTCTGAAAACCTTATTTTAATATGATAGTGTAATTTAAGTAACCATATTAATTCAATTAAAATAATAAATTATGTTTGGCCTATGGCCCTTTGGCCCCTTTGGTTGGAGATGATTTTTTGTCAAAAGGCTATATTTGGCCCATGATCCTTTGGCCCCCTCGGTTGAAGATTGTATAAAATATGGTCTGACACTGTTCATTAAAATATAATTTTTTGCAAGGCTATATGGCTAAAGGGAGCCATTTGGTGCTCATTCGGTTAGAGATGGCTTGACCACCTAGGTCCATAAATAAATTTGTCGTAAATTGGATAAATATTTTCTTATCAGACTGTCTAGTTAGTTTGTAAATTTTAATAATTTACAGTATTTAATACATGGTAGTATAAATTTACGATTAAACATTAGATACCCAAAAACAGTAAAATAACATCAACTTCAACATCTGTGGACTTAATTGTGAGATGTCAATTATCCCAACGTCCAACCACACACACACACACACACACACACACACACACACACACACATATAATGAGAATTGTCATTAGTACTAAAAAAATATCATTCTACACTCTTCACAAGTGTATTTTTCTTTCTAATTATAGAAAGTTTGGAGTGCCAAATGAGATTTTTGGAGTGATAATAACAATTCCCATATATATATATATATATACACACACACACACCAGCTGCTAATTAAGCTGTCACCATCCCAACTTAACTTCATGAATCATGTACATAAGGGAGGCCAAGACACAAGCACACAGGCATACATATATCCCTCACCGAAATTGCAGGCCGCCGAAGCTTCGCTTACCCTACTGTCTTTAATGCTGGCTTCTTCTGTTAAAGAAATTAGGTGATCCTTTCACTATCTTCATTCAGTGTTGAAGGTTCCAATCCTTTCAGGCTTTCACCACTTAAAGGCTCTGCCACTACTCTTTTTTTGCTATATATACTTCCAGAATTTCATTCATCTGATAAAGAAATGGAGCAATCAAGAAACATGCTCATCAAAATGTTACTCTCCCTTCTCAATCTCCTCAGAATCATCAAGACACACTACTACTCGTTCATGTTTATGTTACGTGATGATCAGTATCACAAGCTTCCGAGAATAAATTATTCTGACTGTGTTGCGCTACAAGATCACAATAATTTATTCCCGGAAGTAGCCCCTTCGCCTTGGTTGGTGCCGTTACCGGTCCACTGCATAGCTGAATCCGTGAAGAACCAACTCCCGGTGGTGAAATATAGAGGAGGCAACCAGCGGCATTCGGATCACGACTCGCACACCGATACGTGTATTGTGTGCATGGATAGAGTGGAAGGAGGGCAAAGGGTGAGAGAGCTTTCCAATTGCTCACATGTATTTCACAAAGAGTGCCTAGATGCTTGGATTGATGAGGGTCAGTTTACCTGTCCACTGTGTCGATCCAGTCTATTGCCAAAGAATTGGACTACTCCAGAATCAAAAGGTCAACGGGAAAATGAGAGAGAATTTGGATGTCTGGATCCATGGAGGGCAGAGAGGATGGTTTACTTGTTTGGTGATGATTACCAGTTCATGGGGTAGCTGGCTTTGTTAGCGTGCAGTAGATATGTATTTGAAAATAATATATTCATTAGTGTGGAAAGGAGTTGAGCCTTGCATGACGGCTTGGATTCTCTGTCGGTGACTAATCTAACATCTAATCAACAAAATATATTGTTTGACAAAAAAAATGTTATTATTAATTACTTTTTTATTTGATCGGTAATGCTAGGAAAACTAAATTTATGACAAAATTTGCAAATTAAATGATGTGTCACCAATAAGAAATGAACATTATCAATGCTTAAGTAATAATTTAATCGTCAACTTCCATATCATTTAGTTTATAAAATTTTATCTATAAATTTAATCTTTCTATGTAACCCTTTATTTGATATGTCAAAATGAACATGAATAAATAAGGAAGCGTGTACGTATGAATATAAGGAAAATCATGAAAAATGCTTGAAAATTTTGAGTTTTAATCAAAATGACAAAAATGTGTTGTAAGTGAATAGTACCAAAAATGAAATTTTAGAGTAAAAATAAAATTTTCGTTAAAAATAAACAATATTGAAAATATTTCGTTAAAACTCCATAAATATATGATCCATTAATAATCATTTCAATTTTGTATTTTCTTGAAAGTTGAAAATTTGTTTGCGTTCGAGAACAAGCTCACTTTGAGGATATAATAAAATAATACAGTTTATGTGTGGAAGCTTGATTGTTAATATCACACTTTGTGATAAATCGGTACATGGTAAAAAGTGGTTAAGTTAGAAATTATAGGGATGATGTTGGTGATAGATCACGCTGAACTTAAAATGTAATATTAATTGTTTTTATTTAAGTTTTAATTATTTTTTAAAAACCTGAAAACAATCGTCAAATGAGTTTTAGTTTTAAAATAAATAAATAAAAACAAAATAATTATTAAATGGTAGCAACCTTTACAAGTGAGAGTAAAACGGTATGATAATCAAACGGGTCACGAACCAGCTAGCATTGTGGCCCTAGCACCTCTCAGTGGTCCTCATGCATGATAGAAATGTTACTCGATCTTCTCAATCTACTAAACATGATCAGGTTGCACTACTGCTCACGCATTAAACTACGCCATCAGTTTAACAAGCTACATATGTACTGCACAGTCCGCTAGAACGATTCATTCCCACCGCAAGCAGCCACTCCTTCATGGCGGCCTTCTCCTTAGGTTGGCACCGTTACCCGTTCACTGCATAGTTAAATCCGTCAAGAACCTGTTGTGCGGAAGCGTCAAATATGAAACCAATAAGCTACAACGGCAAAATATGATAAGACAAATAATTCAAATAACACAAGGATTTATACTGGTTCGGCGTAAGCCTACGTCTAGTTCCGAGACGGCGAGGAAATTTCACTAATATCAAAATGGAGATTAGAAATAGAGTTTTAACTCTCAAACCCAAATCCCACATACACCCAATAGCTCTCACTCTCACAAAGAACAACCGGAGAAGAAGAAAATACATACCAAATCCTCCTCTCCCAAAAGCTACACAACATGTAGCAGCCACATCTTTGATTGAGGGATTACTAACAAAAGGGGATTACAGACAAATGGGAAGGAGCAGCATTGTTTCAAATGGGAGAGCCGAACGCTCTCCCTGGTATGTCTCTCATCTGATGCCGCTCCCCCACCTCTCCCACATTCGGCTGCAACCTTTATCCATACAAAAGCATTCAATAAAAAATCCAAAGTAAATGAATAATCATTCATTTACAAACATCATCATGACCTTCATTTTTTCTTTTCAACAAACATCATCATTGTCTATTTACTATGTCCACCAAACTTTTTTGTTTAGTTTACTAGCCGAAAGTGAATACCAAGTTGACCACTAATTTGGCCACTATCCAACAATCTCCATCTTGGCCAAATTCCGAAAACATCATAGAGAATCGAATCAACAATCACCATAAGCACCTAAAGTAGAAACTAAAGACAACGGGAACTAAATCAAATTCCCCAAACTCTCGGTACTCATAATGATCTCCACCTCGACTCAAATTATACCAAAGCCAACAAAAGTAGACCATTTCCCTACCGTCTTCTCCAAATTTGCAAACCGTAAGTGCCTTGATCAAAACAAAGGTGATTCAAACGAAGAACTGAAATTCTTCAATATCACCGACAAAAGATCAAGCACACCATACCAAAGTTGGACACACAACGAACTTCACCTGCTCACAAACACCATGGTCTTAAACTGCACCAATAGACTCATTCACATAGCATGGCACATTCTCCAAGTCAAAACGGATTACAAATTTGGCAACAAGGTCTAACATACCACATACAAAAAATATGCCCTCCATTCAAGTTTACCATCATCACATGAGCACCAACAGGACAACCAAAAATTTCAAATTCAAATAATGGAGATCCAAAACCATACCTCAACTGGAGTCTTCAAGAAAACTAATTGCAGATGATGGAGACCAACAGACCAAATAGCAGTGGCAAACAAATCCAACCAAATGTCCATAGACCAAAGTTAGAAAGCATATAACTTGCCTTCTACGAGAGGGTTCCACACAAATGTTCTGCAGTGCATGTGGTGTATCCAAAATAGTGTGGTGCCTCATTATCCAAACTTGCAGAACTCAACAAATTGGCCCATACAAACTCCTTCGATGTTTCCATCAACTTGCTCCAAAGGCAACTAGTGGGAGTGAAGAAAAACTTCTCTACCGTTGAAAAAATGCCAAAGAGAAGAAAACTTAACCCTTTTTTTTTTTTTTTCAGCCAACAACATCATTTGTCATCATGATGTCCTTTTGCCAAAACAAATGCCGAAAGAAAAGGAACCAACATTTTCTTTTCAATTCTCAACAGCTTCTACTTTTTCTCCTTCCCACTCAACTCGTCGACAACAGCCCACAAATACCACCGGTGTAGCGATGACCAACGGAGAATCTACCAAAACAGTACACTACACCTGCAGCCTTCAAACACCAACACTTCAACAACATTGCAGCATATATGCTGTTTTCGGAACCATTCTCCAATCTGCGAGCTCAGGGACTGCAGCATGGTCCCTTACCATCCTTCTTCAACGCCACGCATTTCGCAGCAATGCAAGCAAAACTTGTATCTCCAATTGACCAAATGCCAAAGTCATTCCTCCCGTCGAATTTTTCAATATCATATTTCACCAACATATTCGAAGGTTTCATATACATACTAGTACAAAACTCCCAAGTCGAAATCGAGCTCTGATACAACTTGTTGTGCGGAAGCGTCAAATATGAAACCAATAAGCTACAATGGCAAAATATGATAAAACAAATAATCCAAATAACACAAGGATTTATACTGGTTCGGCGTAAGCCTACGTCCAGTTCCGAGATGGCGAGGAAATTCCACTAATATCAAAATAGAGATTACAAATAGAGTTTTAACTCTCAAACCCAAATCCCACATACACCCAATAGCTCTCACTCTCACAAATAACAACCGGCAAAGAAGAAAATACATACCAAATCCTCATTTCCCAAAAGCTATACAACATGTAGCAGCAACATCTTTGATTGAGGGATTATTAACAAAAGGGGATTGCAGACAAATGGGAAGGAGCAGCACTGTTTCAAATGGGAGAGCCGAACGCTCTCCCTGGTATGTCTCTCATCTGATGCCGCTCCCCCACCTCTCCCACATTCGGCTGCAACCTTTATCCATACAAAAGCATTCAATAAAAAATCCAAAGTAAAGGAATAATCATTCCTTTACAAACATCATCATGACCTTCCTTTTTTCTTTTCAACAAACATCGTGTATTTACTCATGATGATGTCCACCAAACTTTTCTTTGTTTAGTTTACTAGCTGAAAGTGAATGTCAAGTTGGCCACTAATTTGGTCACTATCTAACGGAACCAACTGCTGGTGCTGCAGCTGTAATACCAAGACCCTCTCTAGAAAACAAGACGCCAAGCAGAAGCAGAAGAGGAGGACTCCCCTGTGATAATGTGCATTGTGTGCATGGATAGCATATGGAGGAAGGCCAAGCGGTGAGAGCGCCATGCAATTGTTCGCATGCTTTGTTTGTCGATTATTTCAGTAATAGAGCTTACTTAATATGTGGCCCTTCATTTGGCCCTTAAGTTTATACCTTAAAATGGATAAATTATAAGGAAAACTAATGAAAATGGAGTGAATAGTATCAGATTTGATTTTTTAATGTAAAAATATAATTTTTCGTTAAAGTGAACAGTACCGCAGATTTTCGTTAAATTTTATTTTTTATGTTCACCCGATTCCATGTGTCCTACCCCTCTCACGATACTCATAGCTCAACACCAACGGTGACCTCATACAAGAACCTCTTGTTAAAATGATAACGTATTATTCTTCTTTTTCATGACACATCAGGTCTTTATTGACGCACACAAGCAATAAAAATCAATTAATACTAAATTAATAAGATATAAAATTCCCAGAGAATTGTTTATTTCATGGCTGAACAACTGGTATCATTCTTATTCATTACTCCATCCTTTCATAAATGAATTACAATGCCCAATGACCAATGCTCTCAAGAAACTTTGAGCCGTCTAAATCTTTTTCCCTTGTTAAATTTGTAAAATGGTTTCTTGAAGGAAAAAAAGGACAAATAAAAAATTAGAATGAGATTATAAGAAAAGATATAAAATATTTGAAGCTAACGGAAAATTTGACGCAAAGTTGAAAGTAATAATATTCTAGGATTCATTAAACCGATCACACTTAGTGAAATAAGACTTGAGTGTTAGTTATTGTTTGTTTTCTTGGAGACCTATTGTTCCATCTTAGTTGATAAGCTCAAATTCCCACCTCTTATTTTTTTCCCCAACAAACACCAACACAACCCTTTCCCTCATTTCCTCGACTCTTCTCCATCTTCGGTGTTGACTCAGTTCGAAGAGAAGAATGGAGCTGATCACCAAAATTTCATCGCCCCTTCGCCCAACAAATACCTCCAATCGCCATTTGTTATCATCATCTTCGCAATTGTTGACATGTCGCCGCAAGAAGTAGTCAGCAACAACCTCCAAACGCTACCCGATCTCCTCCTGTCGGGGCTCTCCATCTGCTTCCTCTTCTCCTTCTCCGCCGGAGCTACCCTCTTCTCCAAAACCCCATTTCTCCATTTTCCTTCCAACCCTCGGCGCCTATTCAAAATCCCCACCATGTCCCTCCACCACCACCACCAGCAGCACCGCTTCCCCACCCCACAGTCCCTCTCCGAGTGGCTCAAGCCTCGATTGCTCTCCGACTCTCTGGCCTCTTGGGGGGTCAAGCCCGGGACCAAGAACGTCCACAACCTCTGGCTCGAGCTCTCCGAAGGCGAAAGCTCTTTAGCCGATTCATCCCCTCCGGTTCGAACGGTTCAGGTTGTGACGGTACGGATCATCGACAATAAATCCCGGGTTTTGGTCGAATCCCACCAAGAATTATCGGATGGCAGCGTCAGGAGCCGAGGCCGGCCATTGTCAGAGAAAATGAAGCCGGGAGAGGACCACGAATCTGCGGCGAACCGGGCGGTTATGGAAGAGCTCGGTTCAATATTGAATTCGGAAAGCAGCGGAATTGTGAAGATTGTTCCAGGTTCTTATGAGAAGAGGGTGGAGGAGCGGCATTCGATGTCGTACCCGGGGTTGCCGGCGTGTTATGTGCTGCACTCGGTGGATGCTTGGGTGGAGGGCTTGCCGGATGGTGAGTTTTGCACCGGGGAGGAGCACGAGTATTCGGATGGCGGAGCGATGAGCATTGCTCACGAGGCTGTGTACGTCAAGAAGCATTTTTGGAAATGGGTTAGTCTTGAGTGATCAACTGATGAACTTTTTTGTTTTTTTGATATAAGGAAATTGTCTCTTTACAAATTAACAACGTAGTTCTTGTTAATACTGTAAAATACTTGAAATTTACACAATACTGTACTGTAAGACGTTGTTTTGAGGCTTTCAGCTGCTATATAGTATATACTGCATAATTGATGTCTTTGTTCGGTTCATTGCGAACTGATTGATGCAGTTTTCGGGTGCATGAATGTCTGATAACTTTTCCTTTTGGTTATCAGTGAAGAGAGTTACGAAATTCGTCAATGTTTGAGACTGTGATAGTGATAACTTTTCCTTTAGTTATATATTTGCATGATTTCTTTGCAGTTTTTCAGTTTTGCACGATTTCTGATTTCAATAATTCGATGTTAAACTCCTATATTCACTTGGTAGTTGATCGTTCACTCACACAAGTCACATATGAACGAAATGAACCGAGCTAGTAACCAACTTAAGGACGAAAAGAGGGCGGAGTCTGTTCGGGCATATGCAGAGTAGGGCTTCTGCTCAAACTAATAGATAGATTTATCAAACGTAACCACCCCCCCCTCCCCCAAGCTATAACCCCTTTGAGGTCAATCAGAGCTGAGAGAGCCCTCACCGTAGTAGCCTTCGGTTGGAAAGTGCTCAGCATGGGAGAGCAGGGAGTGACCAATAATGGTTGTTTGGGAAGCAGTTAACATTGCCGCAATATACTGTACCAATGATTTTGATCACTTGACGATGTACAAATGAATGCTTGACCTAGGCAGGTGTTACTTGCGAGCGCCTGTAAGGGAGAGGGCTTCTCGCCCAATCCGAATAATTATATATGTAGTGTACTACCTTTCTTAACCTTAACTCTAAGCACAATAAAGTAGCCTCAATGCAGCACTATAAACTAACACTAATACTTTGTTGACCTCCCTTGAACTACCGGAACACAAGTAGGCTTCTCCACCCGGGTATGTATATGCGTAGATTTGGTTCAAATAGTGTTGCTCCGTTAACTTGGCCATTGTTTACAAATGCTAATATATGCCTGTAGAGTGGTGAAATTGATATAGCCAGAGACAGAGGTGCAAGTGAAGGTTAATAGTATACAGTGAGAAGTAGTTCAGTAGTTCCTGCTTATGTCTTCGTTTGGTTGGTTAAGGCTTGATTGTTGTTGTAGTTCCTGTTTTTGTCTTCGCTTGGTTGGTTAAGGCTTGATTGTTGTTGTTGTACAGAATTTACCCGATTGATGTTGAAATGCAATTATAATGCGTCTTTGTCGTCGAGTTTGTGTGGTTTTTTTATCAGGTTGGAGACGCAAGCTTTCCTTTCGTTTCGTTAAAAAAGTACTTTTTACTTTTGATATTTCTTTTGAGGACGCACTGAAAGTCGAAGCGTTTGTTTGTTTGCAAGATACGCCAAGAGACGGTCGTGCTCAAGTGCTAAACACTCTAATTGCTATAATCTAATAATGGCTTTTCGCAACTGCACACCGGAGAAATCTTGCGTGGTAGTTGCCGGATCTCGGGGGTTGTGTTATTCACACTCCTTTTAACCTTCTACACAATTCATGTTAATTTCTGTTTTTTGTTCTTCTTTAAATCATTCAATCCGAAGATCAAAAATTAGTAAAACATAACAAAATGTGTGCGGTTTGCACCACCCTTTCGCCAATTGACGGAACTAAAAAGTTTGACATAAAGTTAATGAAACTGATGATGGTAAAAGGTGAAAAGCATCTTTACCACAAAGGCTGTAAAGGCAAACCATATTTGGTCATATTTTCTTCCATAATAGGTTGTAGTTTCAAAGAGGTCAATTAGTCGACTAACTGCAGTTTAAAAGCATTTTGATATCTTAAATGGTAAAGTTTAATTTGTATAGAACTCTGCAGAAAGTATTCGAAGTACGACTTCTTAATTTTTCGATACAAGCGTGAGAGTTATTTTATTCAGACAACTCCATCAGATATTTTTCGTTTGTTCATTTTCACCGGAATTAGGACATTGTGATGTATGTTCAATTGACAAATTCATTTCCATTGTTGGGTTGGTAGAATTATGCCCAACGATTCTGCTGCGACGTTGCTTCCATGCATTACAAGTCCACATGATTATTAGAGGTGAAGGGTTGAAGTGTAAATTTGGAAATTCCTTAACGTAGAAAACTATGAATTTTCCCCCCTTTTTGTTTCTCCTTTTCTTTCTTGTTGGCATGTTAGCTATCAATATCACTACTCTTTTATGTCCTTTTACCCCTCAATCTCTTCCCTTTTCTCCTCCCCACAAAACTACCACCAAAACCCACTATTGAAAAAGAATCTATGAGAACATGATCTTCATTTTCGATGTTTTCCACCCCATCACTTTTCAAGCATATTCATCGTGACAGTCGAGGTTCTGTTTTTGAGTTCATTCTCACTCAGTATTGCTTGTATTGTAAAGAAAATAAAAAGAAGATAAGATCAATGGTACAATTAAGCAAGCTTATCATTCTCACTCATATATGATCATTACTTCCAGTCCTATATATCAATCATATGATTGTTACAAATTTACAAGCACTTAAGCGCAGAACAAAAGATCAACAAACATGACCAAGCAAATATTCAAGAACCAAACAACACATATACGTTAGTAGTACGAAGTAGTCTTTGTAGTCCCGGGAAGAACTTCTCTATGCCACTGCGGCGTTATCCCAAGCATGATGTAGGTAAGTTTCTCTCGCAATTCAGACGTTGGTAGAACACTGAGTCCCTTGCCTTGTAGTGAGAGGACCAGTTGGAGCAGCAGGACCAAAAGCCATGACAGCAAGACAATCCACGTTGACCCTATACTTCCCGGAAACCCAAACTCCGACCTTCCATCGAAGTCGTCCAATCACTTTGAGATTCAAAACCAGTCTACCAGCCGTTTGATCACGTCCCATTTCATAACCGAAAGAGGGACCCACTGGCAGACCGATTCCCACCAAAGAAGCTGTCAAGATATTACTGTCTTCATGTCCTTGGTAAAACGGAGGAAGAGAGGTGTAGACAGTGATTTGCTGGCCCTTGTATGCAGCATAGACTTGAAGCTCGTCGTAGTAAATCCCGACTTTCTGATTAGGGTTTTTTGAAAGTAGGGTGAGTTGGACGGAGGAGTTGAGGAGGTAGCTGCTGAAGAGGTTGAGCTGGTAGATATCGGCTTCCTTGAGGGAGAACTCAGGTTTCGTGGGGCGGAGGATAAGCCAAACGACTAGTATTATGGAGAGAATTGTGGTGCCAAATGTAGAGAATAGTAAGAAAAGATTCTTGTAGAGCTTGCAAATGTTAAGTCCGTGTTTGTTGCCACAGTGTTTAGGAGATTTTGTGAGGGCTTGAGACATTTGGAGCTACAAATATTTAGAGAGAGAGAGTTAGAGGGAGAGAGAGAGCGAAAGAGAGAAAGAGAGAGTTAGAGAGAGAGAGAGGAGGTTTCCAGGGTTAAGCAAGAGGGGAGGGAGGTGACGGGGTTAATAAAGGGAGCAAAAAGTAGCAATAATTTTGCTCTCTCTTGGACTTTTGACTGGCAGCTTCCTCATATTGTGGTGGGAAGGGGCTGTAAGTTATATATTTGCTTGTAAACTTCTACGCTTCTAATTTAAAAAGGTGATTGAAAATCTTATACTATACGACCGTGAATCTGTACTATTGTCAGGTAGTAGCATGTATTCGAATATATAATATATATATATATATATATATATATATATATATATATGTGTGTGTGTGTGTGTGTGTGTGACATTAGATCAATTGATAGTCAACAACATAACATACTTAATTATCCAAAAACAAAGAGAAAATATTACATGTTTATGTAAAATCATGCACATATATCCACAGTGATTGAAATCTTATACTTTACGACCATAAATCTTGTTAGCTAGTAGCATGTATTTTGGATATATAATATATATATATAATATATATATATATATATATATATATGACATTAGATCAATTGACAGCTAGCAACATAACATATTTAATTATCCAGAAATGAACTGAAAATATTACATGTTTACGTAAAATCATGCACATATATCAACAGTTGGATCATTGTACACATGTTGATCGATGTTGAATGGTTGATCATGCTTCGTGTGGTTGATGTGCCTTCCTGTGGATCAACGTAGCACATCAGATAGGGTACTTTTGGGATGATTCACGAATGGGCGGTGAGGTGAAGAGCTTAGCCTTTTTCCTAAAAGCAAATTGCATTTCTATATATATTTGTCTATTTACTAACTTGCAAATGCAAAAGTTTGCATGAAGGAAATAGTAGTGCTGCTTGAAAACGACATGAAAACATAGGAAGTTGTGCTGGTTCAAGTAAACCCCTTTGCGGCTTAAGAGTCCAAAACAACTTACGACTTAGGGTTAGGGTGGAAAAGTTCTTGTTAATTTGGAAATTAGAGTAATCAAACCAATAGACCATCCATCATCTGTCTTGATTAATTCATGAATATTCTAGGTTGTTCATATTATTGTCAATATCCATGCATGTAACATTGATTTGTAAATGAGGATTTAGTCAATTGACTTACACGGATGTCGCCTTCTTGTTAAAAAAGAAGAAGAAAGAAATACATATATGTGGGAATATACATGATTGAGTAGGTCTCAAGATATGCATGATGATTCATGATTGTACATGTGTGCCATGCAACAAAGTTTCAAAAGTTGAAATTATGGACGCTTCTTATACCTTTTTATGCTTTAGCAAGAATATAATGTAAAATAAATATAGGGTACCATGATGATCAAAATTCAAAAGCAGACAGATGATACTGGGGATATCTCTGTCGATCAATCTTAGCCAGAATCAGATATTGGGAAGCACTTTTGGAATAATTGAGTGGACAGTGAAGGCTTTTAAAAGAGCAGTAAGATATAGCCTGTCTTATTGATTGAATGGGAGTGAGAAGAAAATGGTGCAATATAGCCTAGTGGCAGCCCCCCCCTCCCCTTCTTCTTCTCTTAGCTTTGTCCTCCCTTGTTCTAGTAAATGGAAGATTAATCATTAAAACTTTGAGATTACGGATTAAGATATGATTAATTGACGGCGAAAATCTTGCTTAACTAGGGTCTAAAGTCTAAACACAATCAGAGAGGGAGTTTTCAAATTTATTCATTAGAAAGAGTTCGTAAGGAGAGAAGACATGGAGAATCTGTAAACAGGCTTTTTGGAAGCCACTGGGAGACCTCACCCCAATCATTCATGTTCTTGGGTTTATTGTGTCTTTTTATGCAGGTTTTGTTTTTTAGTTAAGAAAATGCTATAAGACTGTTAGTTGATGAGCATCAGCATATATATATATTTATTTGAGAGATATTCTAATCATATTTAAATTATTGAGGGATGATTTAAACTTTAGCGTTAAGAAGGTGACACGTTATTCTGGTAAACTTGACTATACATATGTCTACGATATCGAAGTGAAACTCAACCTAAACTAAAGCTTACTTTGTTCTGTATTATGATTTGGTTCATTATTAGGAGGGACCCTCTTGTTAAGAATCTTGAAGAGAATATTATACAGTTGCTGCTCAATTGTTTGAAAGCTGGGAGGTACTTTGTTTTTTGCTTTTTTGTAACTTCTCACTTGAGTGATTTCTCATCTACTCATCTGACTAGTCATTTTTCCTCTTAAGTTTTGCTTATTTCTTCCATCTGGGTCCGCAAAAAAGAAAGATCCCTTATGACTTTGATTATAATAGGGACAAAGGAAAAAAAAAAAGATTTAGCTTTTTTTTCATTTCACTGATTGTTTAGAGATAAACATGTTCTTCTGGGGGCATATGATGGTAGCCCTCTGGTTCCACCACCACCATATTCAGCCAATCCGGGCTAATAGAGTGTGTTGAGTCATCGATGAACTGGAGGACGAAGAGAGACTTCGGTAGGTGCGTCACATGGTTAGACATGCAGGACAAGTCACTAATTAAGAAGTTGCCACGTCGATACAAGCACAGTGTGGGAGGAGGGGGGTGGTTGTTGTGAGAGAAAATGAAAGACCCTACTTTTCCTAAAGTTTACTTATACCTGAGATGTCACTGTATACATAGAAAAATTAAACACATGATAATATGAATTGACTTGAGATACTGTCGCAATGACATATCGTTTTTTTCGCTGGTTTAGTTGGGCCTAGAATGATTGCATTGGGAAGATAACCATATGATATACCTGCAAATTGGTGGTGGCGAAGATCATGTGTTGTTCATATGCATCTATATCTTTCTATCCCAACATCTGCAAATATATTCCATGCATTATTTCAACTAAGGTCATTTTAATCGAATGAGGGCCAAAGGCTTCCTATTAGCCTTATAGTTGTACAAGAAATTATATTTTAATGAACAATGTTAAACCATATTTCATATCATCTCCAACCGAGGGGGCCAAAAAGTCATAGGTCAAACATAGCCGTTTGACAAAAAATCACCTCCAACCGAGGGGGTCAAAGAGCCATGGGCCAAACATGATTTATTATTTTAATTAAATTAATATGTTTAATTAAATTAAACTATCATATTAAAATAAGATTCTTGAACGTATTTTGAATGTTAATTGTCGCCAAATGAATAAGCCTCTAGATTTCTTATCTTTATATAATCTCAATAATTTTTTGGGTAGGATTTCGAGTAATACGTGTCGCTAACATGAGTAACTCTCTAGATTTCTTATCTTTATATAATCTCAATAATTTTTCGAATAAGATTTCGAGTGACACATGTTGCTAAAGTAAGTAACTCTCCAGATTTCTTATCTTTATGTAATCTTAATAATTTTTCGGATATGATTTCAAGTGCCACGTGTCCAGATGTAATTGGTTGTGCAAATTTTAGATAGGATTCTTATCTATGTGACACTTCTTATCTTCAGAAATTTTTTTTTAAATTCGTCCAAAAAAAAAAAATCAAATTCCAACGGCAACTTAACAACAACATGACGTTAGCTAGCCGTTGTTAGCTGGCGTCATGCTGACGCCAGGTAGCCATTGGCATTCAAATGGGCTGAGCTAGAGGGCTGGTAAAATGTTAAGCTTGACATTGTGGAGCTAGAGGGTTGGCAAAATGTCAAGTTTGACATTCTAGCGCTGGAGGGCTAGGCTGGAAGGCTAGCTGGCCGGAAATGGCCAGCCAACTCGCCTGATTTGGGGGTTTGGGCCGGTGGGGCCCACAAGTCATTTGACCTAGCCCTCGGTTAGAGATGGTTTTCATATCATTCCAAGCTATTTTTAGCTCTATGACCCTTTGACCGAATCGGTTGGAGATGACCTAATGCACATCACAACTTAAGCACGGCATGCATTACTTAGTGATGGTATGAATTATTGACAAAGCCATATTTTCGTACTAGAAAAAGATGTTACGTGCCTTTGAGTTGAGTTGCCTATAAACTAAGACTTGTTTACAAGTTGGGAAATTACCTACCACAATTAGTGGGGAAAGAGAGAAGGCAATCATCAATTTGTGGACGCTGTCGACTTTGACAAGCCTTTTTGTTTTTGGACAGCATGCACGTAATCGTCGGCTGTATCCAAGACGACGACGTATCTATCTATGTCCATAGGCTGTTTTGGTGGTAGAAAATGATGTTTATGAATTCAAGCTGCAGAGTGGACTGGAGCACTCAGTTTTTGCTCACCACAATCAGAATTTAAATGTACAAAAACAACTAATGCTTATTTGTTTACGGAATGAGCAGGTATAGAAAGTAGCCAACATGACGTAATTCACGAGTGTGGCAATATTTCAAGCCTAACACATGGGTGAACATGTTTGATGTTGTGAAATAAGTTAAAAGTTCAACCAAAAAACTAATCAGTAATAGGTAAATAACTCAACTCTTATAACAGCTTGAAAGCTGATACATACGTAAACCTGCTTTGATCTTATGAAAATGTTGGAAGTTTGACTAAAAAACTAATCAATAATAGGTGAGTAGCTCAACTCCTTATAACAACTTGCAAAGCTTTTAAACTTTCCGACGTGGATTCTCCGCATCCTCATGGTGGGGCACTTGATGTTAACAAAGGGGTAGTAAAACGTCGTTAATATACAACTTATACCTAATAATACCTAATGGGGTTCATTCAAAATATTTTGTTGGTGATAATAACACAAGCAGTGATCAAATGAAGTTTGTATACCCACTGAGATTTGAAATCTTGAATGAACAAACCTATGTGATAACAAACAAAAATACAATGACTAAAACATCCCTAGGAAGAAAAATATACAACCCCATTTTACAGAGGATACATTGGTAAAACGAGTTGATACATATATACGTGAAAGATGAATGCAGAAGTGATGTCAGAAGCTTCTTCAGGCCTGTACTATTCTCCTCACCTGTGTTTCTTGGCATCAAAAACTGAAAAACGGTATAACAAAGCTATATACTCTTACCCATCCGCCATCTTAACTTGAAGTACAAGAAACTCTATAAGTAGTTAACCCTCATATGTATTGCCATCAGTTTCTGCAGGTGAAGGATCATTACTTGCTTGACGAACAAACTGCCCTTTTATTCTGGGACGCTGCTCTGCGAGTTTCTTTCTGCTCTCGTAGCGAACCTGAAAAATGAAACATCTCATGTTAAAATGCGAGTTTCTTTGGGGACTAGGGTAGGAGAGGCAGAAATAGTAGTAAAAATGAGAACAATGATAGAAAGGTTGACAAAGATAGTGATGTACCTTCTTGTCGTAGCATCTATCTTTGCGCTTCAAGCGGAACTTGTTTAGAGCTGCTTCTCTTTGGATGGATCGATGAGAATTTCCGTTTTGATTAAAGAAACTGTCTTCATTCTTGTGCTCTGGAGCAGCCCTGAACATAGCCACCTGATCAACATTGTTGCTTCCACAAGCACTTCCATACCCCATGCTACTGAGATGACCTGTATTGCCATTACAGAAACTGCTACTTGCACTTTGATCGGTTGCTGAGGACATATGCCCTCGATCCTCATTGAATCTCTGATCCTGATTCTGAGCTTGGTCCATTGTAACTTTGGCATTTTGATAAAGTGTGCCGTATACTTTCTCAGATTTATCTGTTTGAAGATTTGCGGGGTAAAATGTATTCATCAGGAATGAGGGTTCCTGCTGGGCAGCTGAACTAGCAATTGGTGATGGACTTGATTGTGCACAAAACATTGGAGGCAGTACCGTACCATACCCATTGCTTAGATTGTTAACCCTTATGCCTTTCACGGGAACTGGAAGAGGAAATAGTCTCTGCTCAGGGCATGCCATTCCAACTTCGGATTGGTTAGATTGACCAGTAGCTAGAGTAATAATACTCCTGGGAGTACTAAAAGTTGTAGCAGGAGTATCACAATCAGCATTGGTATTAGATGTTTGCTTCTCGCACGTAGTTTCGTATGCCTTTTGCTGATCACACAGTGAAGTTTTCTGGGGCTGCATTGGCTTGTTGATGTATCTGCAAGACAGATCGTTAATTGATATAGAAAATAAGTCCCGTCGAAGAGCAAAACTGATGTGCACAAGTCACAAAATTCCAAGTGTAGAAAATGGAAACTCACCTTGAAAAGGCGGAAGCATCAGAGTGGCCAAGGGTGTGCCTTTTCTCAGTAACTCGATTCTCAAAGCCACTGGAGTCGGGTCTTCTCAAGGACAGATCCAATTGTGGAGCAGAATCAAACATGCTAGGTGCATTACTTGAAAAAGAATTTCTCTGGTTGCTACTTGGATATTTACTGAATGCTCCAATGAAGTCAGTAATATCTCTACAAGAGTTGACAAGTAGATCGTTATTGTCACAAGCTTCACTAGTCATATTATCATCCCTCCTCTGACTTTCTGCCTTGGCACCCTTGCCTGGTGAAACTGCTGTGTCAGTGATTTCATCGGCAGTCTTAGTTGTTCCTAATTGGATACAATCATAAAATATTAGCAGGCCTTCCTACATAACTGAACAGACGAAGCTATTAAATCGGAAAGGCATAGATGTTATACCTCTAGCTGCATTTCCATGCGTAAGAAATTTCTCTCCAAAAGTGGCGTGTGCTTCATCTTTCTTCGTTTTTCCCCGAATTTGCATATCTACAGGGGCATTCTCAGTTTCGAAGTCTGGCTTTGTACAAGAGCTCTGCAAGAGAATAAATCGTACAGTCAGTCTACTGAAAAATTCATGTAACCAACCTAAATTGAAAGGAAGTTCCTATCATCAAGCATTTGAAGCATTATGATAGGGTAGTCATAAACAATCTACACTGTTAGAATTCAAATAAGAGTGTTTTTCTGTGCCATTTAGAAATTATAAAACAAGAACCTGAGAATCAGTCCCTTTTCCCATGTTTTCGTTAACACGTGCCATATAGCCACTTGAATGATTGCTTGCACCATCGTTTTCACAAGTGGCTTTGATCTTTTGTTGTCCAACACTCTCATTGAGGGGGCCATTCCGGGCTAACTGACAGATAATAAAATTTAGGTTTAATCAGAAACCATACGACAAAATTTACAAGCTAAACCAAAGAACAGAACAGAAAGTTGTGCAGGCATACAGATTGTCTTCTCCAAACATGCTGCCATAGATTTGTCAGCTCATTCTTCCTAATAGGCTTGACTAGATAGTCAGAAACGCCTCTCGTCATGCATTTGTAAACGGTGCTAATTGAATCCTGAGAGGACATCACTGCACGATCACAAAAGAAGAGCAAATTTGTTAAGCACCACCATTATGAAAAATCAAATCAGTTATTAATCAAAATCCACATTTATTTGTTCTTCGTATCGTACTTATAACAGGAATATTTTTGCAGATCTCGTGCTCCATGATTAGCGTAAGCAAAGCAAATCCAGATATCGATGGCAGATCGACCTCTGTCAGTATCAGGTCTATGTTATGAGGCCTTGCCTTCAGTATCTCCCAAGCGTTTAAGCCATCAGCTACAGCAGCAACTGCTCAAACAAAAAACAGGAGCCTTCATAAGAACAGTCTCAAAACATTCATGCTTAAGCAGAATATATAATCCTTTTCGTCAATAACGAATGAAGGCCAAAGCGAGTGACTTTAACCATTAATTCCTTTGTTCATTGAACTCAGAACAAGTAACAGTAAAAAGAGAAATCGTTCTGTTTATGTAACTAGAGCTAAACGCCTTCATCGATATCGTTAAATTATAAAATTTACAGTCTTTTAATTGCTTAACAATTTGGTATGAATGCAAACTTATAAGATCTAAAGAACACACAATATATAGTTGAGTTGACCTTACAGACTCTACATCCATTTCTGTAACTGGCCTATGTTTCTTTCCATTAACATAAGCCCAACATAAAAGCTTCAACCTCATGATAATTCAACAATAATCTTCAATTCCTCATCCAAAATCTTTCCTTTTTTTTTTTCTTATCCAACAAGGTAATATATTAAAACGAGAAAAGCAGCAAAGAATCCAACTAACGGGATCATAAAAATTCAAACACCTAAAAATCCACACCCAAAAATCGCCAAATAAACAAAAACCCAGTTCATCATTCATCAAGATCCGCCACAAAATCCATCAAAACCGAAACTTTAATCAAATTAAGCAAAATACCAGATCATCATTCAGCAGAATCCGCTATATATTCCATCAAAACGAAAACTTTAAGCAAATTAAAGCAAACCCCACTAACCTCTGTAGCTACATTTCCTGAGAAGCGCAGCTATAATATGCCTGGTGGAGTCATCAGCTTCCACCAGCAACACCCGCATGTTCATCGTCGGCAGCAGCTTCTCCCACCGCATCGTCCCGACGGAAGAGTCGCACTCGCCGCCGTCCTTCTTCTCCGCCTCTACTCTCAGCTTCGCTTCCACGTCCTCCCTATTGATACCCACCTCGCCCATTTCTCTCTAAATTTCTATTTGCACCCACCGGAGGAAACAGAGCTACGCAATGTTTCAGTGATGCTGGAGAGTTTGGGAAATTGCCTCAATGTCTTCTCATGCTTTTTTTCTCAAGGTTCAGACCTTTTTGTCCGTAAAAATATCTGAAACTTCCGGTCCCAAATCAATCGGACGGCGAAGATGCCGATTCCCAATCAATCTAACGGTGAAAAATATCTCAGCCTACCAGTGGGGAGGAAAATATCTACAACCCTGTTGCGGTGGGGCCGGTCTGCCACATCATCGAACCAATCTACGACAAGTGGCCATATATCGATCGAAAGGCGTGGCGTCATTGGCTTCGGCATCTGGTGGTCCAAATTAAAAGAAATCTCTTTTTTTCCCGGGAGATTTTTTGGGTGAGGACAGCTGGCGGGGTGGGCCCGGCGTGGTAGATATTTTTGAGTGCCTTGGGGCGGCGATGGATCTCATGGATAGGATCGAGCCACGTGGAGTGCTAGTGGAGGGAGTCTGATTTGTGGCCTTGGGAGTGGGGCTTGGACCAATGGGGGCATCTTACTTTTCAATTGCGTTTTTCTGTGTACTCTCAATGGGTGTACTCGCTTTCCGATTGGGGATAGGCAAACGTGTGGTTGTTGGCTTCTGATTGGGTTGGCTTCACTCGTTGAACAGTCTTCTGCCAATGTCAAAAAGTCGCTAGCCGCTAGTCGAGGCAGATAAAAACTTGCCTTCTAGAGGATTAAGATGAGGCTTAGGGGATATTTTTTGAATTTTAATTAAATATATTATATAATATATACGTAAAAAAAAAACTATATAATTGTATCAGGAATCATAAATTACAAAATATAATGATATATAAATTATAAAGTATTAGAATATTTTAAACACATAGGAAACAAACATATAATGAGTATTCATTTTGATATTCAACAAGTTTTTTACAATTTATTGAAAACATAAAGTGCCAAAAGTAAGTTATCAATGATGCCTCTCTAGGCGAGCTAGATGGACGCTTTGGTGGGTCTAAGCGAGAGCATAGGCGGATCTAGATGCCCTTTTATATTTTTTAAACGAGGCGCATCCCTGGGCAAGGCCTTTTTGAACAATGTAAATAACTTCGGTTATCTTAATCCAACATATATTGATCCCTCCATTAGGAGACTTTAGAGAAATTTTTGCTGGTTAAGTGGTGAAACTAAACTTTTATAGACTTAAAGTCATGGTTAAGATTCTACAGATAGAATTTGTCTCTGAAACTAGAATTGGAAAGAAGGGTGTCAAAAAGTTCTTAAGCCAACACATTATGATACTTTTTGTCCATATGGTACAACTGTGTCCTAAGAAGATAAAACAAGTTCACTTAATATAACATCACTAGGTTAGCAATATCACATGGAGGTTTAGTCATTACACTTAAAAAAAATTTGTTTACACACACGATATTTTACACTAATCTACACTAAAAAAAAAAATTAATCTTGGGATATTGGGAATTAGAAAGAACAAAAAAAAACCCTAATTCTTCAGTTACTACATTCAAAATTTCAAGATAACAAGACAGCACACAAAGGTATCTAGACATGCAGCTAATGATCCGCATTAGTGGCTCTTAATTCTTCATTATAGCGACTAATATTGTTTGTTTAATGGATAAGGATTAAAGAAAGTTGACTCTTTATATAGGGCCATGCTAGATGGCGGATTTGGATCCTCTCCTGAGCTAAAGGAGAGGATCATTTTGACCAGTTATCGTGGATCGTTGGATTTTTATTCAATGGCTACAAATAGGGAGGTCCCTTTAAAGTTATAATAGTTATAATTGTTGAATAAAAATTCAACGGCCCACAATAGCTGGTCAGGAGGATCCTCTCCATTAGCTCAGGAGAGGATCCAAATCCCTAGATGGCATCCACTGATTGAGTCCTCACATTCTCAAAAACATTTGTGTGATTATCGTTTTCACTTTTGATGTAAACCTAGTTTTTTATTTTGGTGGAACGAGTCGTCATTTGCACAAAATATTATCAAACTCTGGTTGGATTTGAGTGCGGTATTTGTAAATGATGGACTAATTAGAATCATAAAATAATCGCATATGCTCTGATGTCGCAATCTTAAATTATTGGAGTGGATTGTGTCTAACCAATCACTTATGCCTTCACTATACCTCATGATTTTCTAGCAAACCCATTATTTATATATGACCCTCTTACGTGGGCCGAGCTTTGGTGCAACGAAATGTTACTCTTTTGTAATTGAAAAGTCATAGGTTCTAAGTGTGAAAACAGTCTATTTGCAAAGGAAGAGTAAGACTAGGTACAATAGGCGCTCTTCCCCAATTTTTGCAAAACGAAAAACCTTATTGGCTTAGGGTCAGCCCCCTTTTATAGCTTCCTTATCATGTTATCATAGACATAATTCCATCAAGTCCGTGGTTACGTGCTAGCAATATAAGTTGGATATCATGGGGAGATATTATTCCTACAAACTAACTTATAAGGTGAAGGTGCTACTGAACATTCCATTAGGCTTCTGTATTCAACGTCCTCATTGGTCTACTCAAGCTATCAGCACTAACACAACAAAAACTCTTTCATTTGTATTAAACATATATGTGGATAAAAACTTGTATGTCACGAAGACTAATTATCTTGTTCCTTTCTCACTCGTGAAGAGTGGAAAACGAGAATGTACATTCAGATTGCAGGTAAGTTGTTGTTACATGTGGCTCCACTTATTATTGTCATCATGTGCTTCAGAGATATCAAGCTTCCACAAGCAAGCATTTGAGAACCCCTTCTGAGCATATGAGAAACCCTTCTAACCTTCATACCAAAATGCTTATTGTACGTCGTAAAGATGGAAATGCTTGTATACTTCTAGAGTAACAGCACCAGTCGGTCGGGATTAATTTTGAAGGTTTCGTGTCTTGTTGGATCTAACCACTTGTACTACAGAAACTTCCACAGGAGTGCAGTTAATGTATAAATTTTCAGACTCATTCATTCTCTTCCAGAACTATATGTAAACAATCTGATGAAGGTAAACATGCTGCAAGTTTCAGTACAAATTCATTGATGTTGTCAATCTTTGTTTTTCCCTACACTAACAGATCTCATTCTCTTATGTATGCAAAAATGCAGCTTGGATTTGCATCGATCGGGCTAAGTATACACACCGCACACAAATGTACATGATCATGAAAGGAGTAAATAGCAATAGATAATAGCCAGTATCTTAATATGTATGACAATTACGTTATATTGTTACATTAATAGAAAGAGCAAAGCAAAGGAAAGGCTCATAATACCAGTTGGTATGCTTCAAATCAAATGCATGAGCTAACCGCTGCCAATCACCGGTAAAACCAAAGTTTCCACGTACAAAACCACTTGTGCGTTCCTAGCAGGAGTGTTGAGTACAATCCTGCAAATGTCTTGTTCCGGTATATATAAGATCAAGTCACCTTTACTCGATTCCATCAAAACTTCATCATCTTCTTCCATAATGGATATAGGCTTCAACCGGATCACATATGGAGGGAAAATCTCCAGACGAATTTTCGCCAAAATAGTCCAAGATTGATCGACCCCATATTCCATCATCACCCATATGGTAAAGCCGGCAGGATGATTTAAATGATCAATGCAGGAAGTGTGAAAGAAGAGACGATCTCCAGTAGTTCCCACTCCCGTCCCCATGGAACATCCTTTATGCTTAATAAGGGAAAAGAAACGAAATTTCTCTTGTGCGAAATCAAAGGACCTGATTGTTGTTCCAGTATTTGTAGAGTTCATATCTGTCCAATGTAGAGCTCCATTTAAGAAGCACCCTCGCATGTTTATGTAAGCTTCCATGAGCCCGTTTTGAGTGCAAAGATTGCAACCAATATTCTTTCTTCGGGAGAATTAAAACCGCCCAAAAGGACCTTGTAGTCTTGAGTGGTGGAATCATAGCCGAATCCATAAAAACTTGGCTCCAAGGAAAACAATCGATGTCTGGTAGCTTACGGGCTGTTCTGGTACTAGGGTTCACAAGAGAAGTCTTCTGTTTTCATGCTGAGTGAGACCAGTCATCACGTGGGGGTTCAAGTAGTAGGCAGATGAGGCCATTGAAAGAACCCACAACGGATGAATCGTTGAGACTAGTATCATCTGGAAATTCATCTTCAAGGTCTCTACGTATTGCTGCTGCAGACGCGGAGGCGGAGACGCTGGAGACAACGTACTTCTTCTTCAGTGATAGGTAGTCAACGATTTGGGGAAATCGAGATGGGGGATCACGAAAGTGATGGGGACGTTCAAAGATGATCAAGATATTCTTATTGTTATCGTTGTGGTTTGTACGTCCTCGGTGCTTGGCGATGAAATCGGAAGTGGAGATTAAGGCACGCCATAACTTGCATACACAACAGAATCGGAGGAGAGATATAACCGGTAGCCATGAAAGTATCTCGACGATTATATCTTCATAGTTGGAGAAGAAGATCGACAATTCTCCACCATCATCCACCATAGTAGTAGAAAACGAATGGCTGAATACTTCAAATCTTATTGATCGATCGTTAAGGTTACACTAATAATATATATATATATATATATATATATATGCATATATGCAGTACTATTATATTAGGAATGTGATGGTGTAAATTTTTTAGTACTATATCTCTTAGACCATATATTATTCTATTAAAATTGTAATCTTATAGCAGGATATTCAATTGAGATGTTGAGATATTTTAATTTTTTTTTTTTACAAATTCAGGAGTATTCCAACAGAATTTTTAAGTGAATTTCTGAAAGTCTAGGTGTATTCAATCAGAATTTTTAATAAGAGTTTATAATATTTCATGTGTATTCAATTAAAAATTAATTTTAAAGGATTATAAAAAGTTAGGGAATTCGAGGAAATAAGAGATATTTCATAATGTATTTTAAGCATTCTAAAATCTCATATATTTCTTGAAAATTCAAAGGATTTCACTCAAAATTTTATATAGAATCTCTAGAAATTAATTAAATAAATTCTATCAAAATTCATAAATTTATAAATTTAATAAAATCATCACAATCTCAATTGAATACACATTTGTTATTGGGCTAGCTACAAAGGCTTGAGTTTTCTAAGTTGTCACATCTCAGCCCGGCCCCTATCACATCTCAGACTCGACTCAACCGTAGTACGATATTGTCCATTTTAGGCCCCGACCACGTCCTCATGATTTTGTTTCTGGGAACTCACACGAGAACTTTCCAATAGTCATCCATCCTGGGAATACTCTCACGCAAACTCGTTTAACTTCGAAGTTTCTACGGAACCCGAAATCAGTGAGCTTCCAAAAAATCTCGTGCTAAGGAAGGATGAGAATATACATATAAGGATCACTCTCTGGACGGAATCTTACATAAGTAGTCAAGAGGGCGATTGTTTTCAGATCTTTCTTTGTGCAAGGGAGGGTCTAGATATAGGGAATTCTTAGAGCCGCGTAATGTTTTAAAGAGAACGACGCCTAACTATCAAATCAATGCCGCCAAAGCGGTGGAAGAATGCGATTGTTCTCTCGATTTCTTCAACTGACTTGAGACAATGCCTTGTACAGATTAACCTTGTTGAGAACATCGAATATCTTGTCAAAAGGGAACGCCGCGGTGAGGAAGCATCTGACTTTCTGATCCAAAACCCACCAAGAATCTTGCTTCCACTGTCCCGAAAAGCCGCTTAAGCTGCGACGGCTCAATCTTCCCTTCCAAATCGTCGAGCACAAGTTGCAGAAACGGACCAATTTCCTCAGCAGTTAACAAACTTGGGGATTTTATAATCAACTGAGAAAGCACGAGGCCGTCGATTCAAACAGAACGGAAGGAATGAATCCGAGAACGCAGTGAACCCAAAGGTATCGAGCCAAAGCTGGATTCTTGTTAAAAAGCACTTGGCTTTCTTCCTCCCTGGCACAAGTTATAACGATTAGAATCTTGTAGAGTTGCTTACGTACTTCGGCGACAGCATTGAAGGGCACGGAAGGTTGGAAGTGAAAGCGGTGAGAAATGAGCGGTAGCCGGAGGAGGAGGAGGAGCTAGTTAAAATGAAAAGAGAGAATCCGAGGAGGAAGAAGAAGCGGGAAAAGGATGAGCGAACAAAGCGTACACAGCGGCCATTTTCCTGATTAAAAAAAAAAAAAACCTTTAACCCATATTTATTTTAATGAAAAATTATATTTTTATATTAAAAAATCAATCAAGATATTATTCATTTTACTTTTTATTTTATCGTTTTCGTTAAAATTCAAAGTTTTTAAGTTATTTTCATCAATTTTCCTTACAAAAAATCATTTCTTCTCAACGTTTAGATAGACTGAGCTTTTGTTTACAGTCGTTTGCGGCTTTTGAACCCAATAGGATTTCAATACAGCCAGAAACCAATGACATTATAGGCCCAATGATTATCTAAATTGATTGATTAAATTAAAGAAGAATTGTGAGCAAAAAAAAATATAGGCCTTGAGCTGCGTAGAAGGAGAAAAGAGGCGTGTTTAATCATTTCCCATTTCGTATCAGTAGGTTTGCAAAACTTTTAAAACTATAAACTCCTTCTGGGGAAAATAGCTTCTACTATGATATTTGTTTCAGGCACCGTGATCATCGGCACCGCCATCTCGAAGCCCTGTGCGTGACCGAACCTCCACCACTCTTTCTAGAGGGAGATGACATGTTCAACTGAATCTTTGCACTTAAAGAAAGACCGCTGGTACCATCATATTACGTTGTTGCATTGCCGATAGTTAGCTCTTTCTGGTGCAAAACTCTTTTTCCGGTCTCTGGTCAATCAAGCTTTGTATTGTTTTTGGCTGTCCTTGAGACACTTCCTATGAAGCTTTCCTCCTTTTTTACTATCTGTAGGAATGCCTTTAATACATATAACAGAGGAGCCACGCTTTTCCAAAGTTCTCATTGTTCGGTTGAAAGGAAACCTGCATGACATTCAACGAGAAGAATAAATACGTAGGTGCATACAGGCAGCAACACAGAATGGTTAAATCAGATTGTAGTTTCAAGTGCACTTGCCCTTTTCTTCTATCTTTGGTTTTATTATCCGGCAGGTATTTGCCGAATTCTTCCCCTCTGTCATTAAGATTATCTAGCATGTCATTTTGCGGCTTCTGTCCCTGAACAATGAAGCAAGGGCAACAAGCTTACATTTCTTAGTTTCATAATAACATGAACAGAAACTCTACGAATCTACGATTATGGCATCAAATTGTATGCAACATATCAGAAAAAAACACAGATTAGTTTCTGTCCTGCCGTGATTCGTACTTATTTATGTTAAGCAACAACTGCATACTAAATTCAGAATTGGAACATAAAATCTAATCAATTATTCATCATAACAGTTGAATCGAAAACCTTTAGGTGGAGCCGGCTACATCCAAAGCATTTAAAGGGTGCGAAAACAGAAAGATTCAGAGACCATGCATGCTCTCCGAAGAACTTGCAGCATTCTACTTTACATGGCCTTAAAGCAGATATACAAATTATTCACCGTTACAGATGCATCAGTTAGAGTGCTATCCTTTCACCTTCCATACTGATAATTGTCATTAATATAATAACAAAGCGCAATGAGATTAACTGATTAGAACTCCTAATAACACAAATGGTAAAAGGAAGGAGTGCTCTAAATGTAACCAAAAGAATACAAAAGCCGGAGAAGTAATCGGGCACAATTCAATGTTAAACTTATCGATTTCAGTTTACCAAATTACTAGAAAAATGCCTAAACCACGAATATGAAACAACCATGACTGAAAGATTAACTAGAAGATATATACAACTCTATGAATGTAATCACAGTATAAGCATTTACAGATGAAGAGAAAGCAATGACGATACTAAATCATTAAATCGAAACAGAAAAACACATGCAATCACAAGCTATAGATAGGAATTAGGAACCATCACAAAATTAACAAATTAATCAAGCCAGAATCCTAGTATCTTACTTCATGAATGGAGTTGAGAGCTATACATTCATCCCCACCAGCTTCAACATCCAAAGCCGAAACTGAAACCTTAGCTTTCTTTTTGTCAATGTCATCACCAACATGTTCCTCATCAACCACCTTCCTCTTATGTCTCCCTGAGCTCCTCCCCTTGACCTTCTTCTCCCTAACTTTCCACACATTCTTCCTCCTAAACACCAACTTATCCGTCTTCCAAACCCCGCAGCTCGTATCGATCACCGTCACTTCGCTTCTCGAATACCCTTTCATCTCCCCCTTATCTTCCTCCTCCTCCTCCTCCTCCCCCTCACATTCCCCACCACCCACATTCCCTCCTACTTCATTCTTCTTCTTCTTCTTCTTCTTCTTCCCCACCAAGCTGCTGTTATCGGACGCCGACTTGTCGACGGCATTTTCGACATTCCGCTCGCAGCCGGAGCTCTTCTCTTCCGCTGCATTTGCAGTGGCGTCGCCATTGGAGTTGGTCGAGGAAGCGACACAGACTCTGGGGTTTGCTTGCTTTCTAGGAATCTTTTTCCCAGAAATTTTAGAGCTTTCGTCGGCGCCGCCCATGAAAAATAGCTCCGACAGAACATTGCTCATCATCCCGATGATTGCCCCTCTCTGGTCGTCTCGGTTGGGGAACGATGTTTCGTAGCGATTATCGACTCGGTCCGAATCCGGGCGAGTCGAATCTGTGGATGGTGAGACAACATTGGGATTCGGGAATTCCGAGGAAGAGCTTAGGTTTCGGGTAAGGAAGTGGTCGAGGTCGGAACTCTCGCAGGTGGGGAAGCCCTTGTTGGACCGGAGCCGGTTCAGCCAGTTCGACCCGGACTTGGTCGCTGGCACGGAACAGAGCATTGCTGTGGGGACGGATCTGAAAGGCCAGGTGGCTGGAGCTCGACGGGCTTTGACTGTCGGGAGTTGCAGCCGGATATGGAGAGAAATAAGGTTTTCTGGGTTCGAATTCTGAAAGCTTGAAACTTGAAACGACCGTGGCGGTAGGTGAAGTTGCTTTTACTTTTACTATCAAACATGAAACACGTGGGGCTTCGTAAGTACTATTTCATAGGCCAAGGGTTTCAATTTCAAGTAGGATCGTCACTTGATTTGGTCTCACTTCGTTGGATTTGTTGAAGACATGGTAATTAATTGCATATACTATTGTCTAATGTCATTTTAAACTCCAAATTACTTGATAAGAGAGATGAAAAATGAATATATTGAAAAAATAGTTAAAAAAAATTCATATCTTTAAACGCGAGAGATCATCAGTTCAAACTGAATAATAGGCAAGACCAAATCAGTGAACGGATGACGCGCTTTGTGTATACAATCAGACAATTAAGTGATTTGATCATCCGTACTTAAGAAATTCTCTTAACTCAACCCTACATGAGAATACAAAAAGATCAAACCTTTGGATTAAGTAAAAGAAATGTTGATGCATCAAATACACTTAATGCACACTCCCAAATGCAGTTTTCATGTTCCCATGGCAACACTATGCATCTAAATCATATACTCAATTCATAAAGGTTATGAAGACCCCATCAATTAAGGGAATATAACTGCAATATGCATAATTAGTTGATATCAACCATGCATATCTCACACAACTAAGAATGCAGGGCCAAAATCCAAGAGATCCTTAATTTTCGTATTTGCATAATTTTGTTCTATTTGCTATCGAGTATCACCGTAAAAGAATGTAAAAGGGAGATCGTACAAGGTCGATTCTATGAATATAATATGATCTTATATGTGCATTATTAATGGCAGCTTTGGAACGTACTTCTACGGGAGGAACATCGTACATTCGATTTTTCGATAGATTGACAAGTTTTAACAAGGATGCAGTGTTGGTAATTTTTTTTTTAACTTGACAAAATTTCTGGACTCAAATGTTTGTCAACATTCTGAATTAGTGCAAGTTGATGTAGCTAGCTAAACGTTATGTTGGAATCCTCCGCCTGCCTGATATTTTTGTAATACTAGTACCTTGCAAGTATACTTAATTTTCTAGAGAAAGATACGTGTGTATTATATAATGTCGTAAGAAAAATCGCCATCAAGCAAATAAAACCGCAAAAGTAATGAAATCAGAAAACTAACACGTGAACAACACAATTACATCTTCTAGTTAATTGCCAAGCTAAAATCTTTTGATAGGTAAGTGAGAGCAACATCAACGTACAACATTTTGAAATTTTTATCAGTTTCAAACAAAATTTGGAATAGAATTGTTCATCAATTGCCTAAAGAGAAAAAAGAACACAACGGATATGAAAACCTCTAGTCGAACAAGCTGAATCCCATGTCATCATCGCTCTCTTCCCTTAGTCCTTTCTCCAAATACAGAAAGGGAAAATATAGATAACAAGTATCATCCTTTACTGTCAAGGCAAGTCGAAGTTTGGAGACTCATAGAGCATAACATACAAACTACAACGCTATCGGCCTATAAGTCTACCGAGGAAAGCAAATGCCAAAGCATCACAGTATCATCAAAACTTGAATTCGAAAGTCCTCAATCATCAAAACTCTCATGTGTCTATAATTAACAATAAACATAGATTAAAGTATAAACAGAGATGGTATTCTCTCCTTCTCCTCGACTGCAGGAGCAGCGGCGCTGGTAGCACCACCTGCATGACGCGGCACAAAGTAATCAAATAGGTTTACCAACGTCATCTCTTGAAGAACAAGTCCGGAATCTACTAGAAAATTGAGAGAAATTGCAAGGGGTTGAACTGATTGGTGATTGGATGAATACAATTGATACATCCATATGACTTAAATAAAGATTACAACTGCTAAGAACAACTCGAAGAAATCTAGGAATTAAAACAACATTAATTAAACATTAATCGGACGGAAATATAAAGGTTTGATTTTTATTACAAAACTTTAAACACTGTTTTGGAGGCTGAAACGATTATGGATGACCAAAATCCATCATATGTTGCAACGAGGCAGTTTGTTTGACTTGTGTCTTCATTCCCTTTCCGAAAAGGTGTCACCGATCCAAATCGAAATTCAAACGCCAAATCTGCAAATTCTCACTGCTTCTTTTTGTTTTATAATGGTCCATTTCCTCTTCAGTTCATTTTTTCATTTGTTCTAAATCACTGTGCACCAGCCGATCGAAGCAGTCACAGCTACTGGAGTTGAACAAACGATAACGCAAGCATTCAAGAAAAGGTCCTCAAGGTTTCTCTTTTCTGCGAGCTTGGCAAAGAGGCTAGGCCAGTGTGATTCCACCGACACATTAGCAGATTTCACAAGGCGGCGATCTTCTCAGCCTATTACAATTCGTTTGTAAAATAAATTTCAAAACAAAACTTTTCAATACTACAAAACGAATAATCTAACTGGTCTACCCTATTTGTAACTTTCGATGTGCAATAAAACAGAACCCAAACAACAATGGACCTTTCAAACGGATGGGGCTGGTTATATTCTCAAGGTCGTATTGATAGATTGTGAGATGTCAGGGATTGGACAATGGATGATTTCACCCAGAGAATGATATATGAGACGGAAGTGAAGTTGTTCTTGACATTAACTAATTTAATGTCTTTGGTTTTGTACGATGATCAACAATGGGCAGTTTTGGAGTTTCGAGAAGTCAGTCCAACCTATGATGACTAAAATCATAGGGTTTGATTGTGGTTATTGCATGGAGAGGTCTTCACACGTTGTACACGTCTCTGTGTAAAGATCCTGAAGACTATACTGATATTCAGTTGTGGTCATATTATGCTAACCATAACATCCGACCTATCCAACCCCACCTGCATCCGGCCCATATTCGATGGTATCATCAACGATGTGATCTGCCACATCTTACTGCTGTTTTAGTTGTAAAGGAGACGGAGTTAGGTCCTAATGGGGGCAGATTCTAACATATAACTGAAGATATATGGTTAGACAGAGAGGGATATACTCCAGAGACACCCATATCACTTCTTGGTCACCTGGTCCTGCCTGAATTTTAAGATTATCAAGGGCTTTTGTGTATACGACATTTTTCAGTATGCTCCGAGTATATTATATACTGAGGTTTTTATTCCTAGAATCCTTGGTTGAGGATCCAATGTTATAAATTTCGGTATATATGCCAACAGAAGCATAGTAGATTTTTCGTGTATATATATTATATATATAGATGGGACATTTTTAAAAAATAGAAAACTTCATTTTAATTCTTAAAAAATATGAGTTTTAGACTATAACCTTGTGTAAGATTAAAATCCAATTTTAGTCTCTAGTACATTTAACCATCTCATTTATTAGTTATATTTATATTTTAATGTCTACATTTAGGCAACTAATTTTTTTTATAATATATAGTCCGATAACAATTTTGTACGTTGTTCATTTAGGTACATTAATATATTTGAATATTTCGGTATATCCATCGATATAAACATATAGGTACATTAATTCATCGATACAAACATATACATGCATTTCAGTACATACATTTTGGTAAATACATTTGAGTTTTTTTTTTTTAGTACAATGATATATTTTACACTAAGGCTAGGGGGTTCGGCTAATCCACACAGTGGACAACTTAATTTGGTATCGAATTCGTCATCCACGAGATTCGAACCTAATACCTCTCATTTGAGTATTGACTTTTAGATACATTAATTCAATATACTACATTTCGGTATGTACAATTTGGTACGTACATTTTGTTGCATACATTTCGATACATTAATTCAATATAATACATTTCGGTACGTATATTTTGGTATGTACATATCGGTACATACGTTTTGGTATGTATATTTCGGTACGTACATTTTGGTACTTATATTTCGGTACGTACATTGTGGTACATATATTTCGGTATGTACATTTTGGTACATACATTTTGGTATTGATATTTAGGTACATTAATTCAATATAATACATTTCGGTACATAGATTTAGGTTCATTATAATATATTTCGGTACAATCATGTCGGTACATATATTTCGATACAAAAAAGTCAATAATATATATTTTGGCACAGTACAATCATATATTTATATATTTTGTATCACAAATTTCTTTTAATATTTTCTCATTTATGTTCATTTATAATTAAAGAACTAAATATGTGCATATTAATAAAATTAAAATTTAATGTGGAGAGATTAAATAAAAATACACATTAAATAACAAAAATTGAATATAAATTTTGATAAAAGTACATTTCAAAGGATTAAATTGAATATATAATCTAGCATCATGTTTTTATTTTTAAATTTTAATATTTTGCAAAAACTAATGTTCAAAAACCTCAAAAAAAATGTACCTTATTGCCTTGATGTGGCATGTTCAACCATCCAATGTCAATAAGCATATCAACGTGTTATAGATTATTAGCATTTCATATCATATTATCAACTATGTTGACGTGTCAATTATTTAGTTCTTGATCTGTTTGTCAATAAAAATCAAGGTGAAAAGTAAATAACAAGGTGACAACGTGTTATTAATATTGAATGGCACGGGACACAAAAATCTTCTCATAAAGCAGGATACTAAACAGTAGTAGTTGATGGCGCTCTTTGAATACTTGAATCAGTGCGGGTAAACTTAGTAATGGGTGGTTGAGAGCCTGCAAGTATTTTTGAATTTCATTAACAAAAATAGAGTAGATGTCTAGTCTAATCTCTCTTGGGAGGGTTGTCTGGTGGGGTGGTTGAAAGCCTGCAACTTGGATAAATTTTGACATATTTGTTACATGGTTATATATGAATAAAAGAGTAAGTAGCATATATCGATTTTTTTCAAGAACCCACAGACAGATGCCCTCTTCTTTTTTTTTTCTCTGAACTCACAACACTGGAGTTGTAGAAAAAAAAAATATTTCTTTTGTGAAAATTCATGACGTTGTTGGTATGATACGACCAAATATGTAAGATTTCATGTCGGCTAGAATAGTAGTTTAGCCTTTGGCTACGATCACATAGTCATAAATTAGCCTTCAGCTACGATCACATAATCATAGTTTAGCCTTCGCTACGATCATATGGTATTCGACCATGGGTTTAGGGTTTTCAACCCTCGTTATTGGGCTTTCAGCATATTTTCGACATTTGGGTTTTGCGTCCTAAATTTATGCTTGTTCTTGAGCCCTTTTTACCTTATGGACTTACAGAAATTTGAGCGGAAATAGCATGCAAGGGTCCATTCCTTCTCACTTGGAAAGTTAAGAAGCTTAAAAGTACTGTAAGTGCAGCTCACATATTCTCTTTCAGATAGTGTTAGTGTTTTATTTTATGTTTTTTTCCTGGACAGCGTACCCAAAGTTTGTGGTTACGACAGATCAATTCCATATTTTAAAAAATGCTCCTTCCTTGGCAGGGACTTGTCGTTCAATTCCTTGAATGGGTCAATTCCTGAATCGCTTGGACAATTGGCCTCATTGCAAACACTGTAAGAAATATTATAACGCAACTTATAGTTGTATGAAACCAAAATGTTTAGGAAAAAGACTCTTAATGTAAGTTGTTTTGTTGCAGTAATGTCAATCGCAATTCTCTCTCTGGAAAGGTCCCATCTGCTCTAGCCAGGCTTTTGCACGGAGCGAGCTTCAAGCAAGAATTAAACACTATTAATCTGCATGCATTTTGGGCCCTTGCATATGTTAACATAAAAAGAAGTGTATGTATACTCATCCTGAACTCCATATTTGGTTTTGATACAGTTTCAATGATAATCATGGATTATGCGGTATATCGGGACTACCTGCGTGTGGGCAACACCTCACTGCCAGAGCAAAGATTGGAATTGGGCTTGTTGTTTGTGCTGTCTTACTACTTATTGTTATAGGCTCCATATGTTGTTAGAAAAGGCGGCTGAACATCCATACAGTACAACAAATTGCAGGTACTAAGGATGTCGATATTGATCTTTTAGCGAAATCCGATTGTATAAGACGGGTCTTAATAATTAATGAACGTACTTGAAATTACATAACTTCCTTGCATGTTACATTACATCTGCTGGAAGGCATTAGCATGAATTACACTAACTTTTTCAAATTGTGATCTGCCTTTCCTTGTGTAGCAAGACACATTCCGCATGCACAGGCGGGGACACATTTCGCACCTGACATTGAACTGAGCAGGCAGTACACGCATTTGTCACCTGAAATTGAGATGAGCAAGCTGTATATTCATCGCATCCGATCTAGAACGGCATCAGAGACGGGGCCTATTTTGCGACAACGTTCCAGGAGTGTTTAGATGGGCCGTAAAGTCACTTACAGAAGATCAGATTCCTCATGGTCCAACTCTTTCCTCTTCTTTCCAGTTTTTGTAAATATTTGTAACAGGAAACGGAAGTGATGCATATGGACTTTGTGTCCCTTGATAAACCTGATAAATCTGTCTTCCAAGTCAGCAATCCTTGTCACAGGATTGCCCAAGTCATCAATCCTCTTCGTGAAGTTTGAATTGATGGATTCCCGCTCACCATGACAAAGCTACAGTTTGGATAACAATCACACTTTTCGAAAGGTAGAGAAGAAGCAAAGCCCTACTTAATCTTAGACTCACTCGTAGCCGTGTAATTCAATAATCAGTTCGTATGTTTGTAATTTTGAATTGATTTGTGCTTAGAGATAGGTTTATCCTATAACTGTCTAATCTTGTAAAGCTATATATAATCCAAGTGAAGACAAGCTCAGATTAACTGAGTTGAGCTTATTCAATCAGTATTGCAAAACCCTAGTTTAAGTTCTTTCATACTTAAGCAAGGTGGAAAAGGTGCTCAGAGTGAGACGCTTACAAAGGGTCTATTGTAGATACAATTTCATGATCGAATGGCTTCACCAAGAACTCAGAAGACAGACCGTGACTGTCCCATCTAGTTCAACTATTAAACTTGAAAGCAAGAGCATCATTGTCCATCCAACTGTTGCTGCATTCTAGAAATCAGCTAAACAAATGGGTTTAAGTAGTGTGAATTCCACCATTTTTAGTATTGACGAAATTGTACCACAAAACAAATAAATACCTTTGACGTGCCCATGAGGTGGTGTTTAGGAGTAGCAAAAGCTTACCAGAGTTGTTGAAGTATTTATAGAGAGGGCAGCCATGGATGTTCCAATGAATTTCTTGTAGTAAAGAGTCTAAAGACACTAAGGCCTCGTTTGGCAGTTCGGACTGTACTGACTATTTTAGACGGATAGGATAAATAGTCATCGGATAGTACTGACTAAATAATCGGGCGTTTGGTGCAATATTGAATTAATAACCGTATTATTTATACTGTGTTTGACACTCTACCGGATAAGAGGACTTGCAATTATTATTATTTGTAAGAGAAAAACTAATGATTAATGAAAAATTAACTTCAAGTCTGCAAACAATTTAAAATGTTAATTATTTTGATTTTTATAGAAACCAATCAAATGGTGGTTCCTAATAATCTGGTAAAATTAACACGCCTCAAGGACTATGTAAACAAGCAGCATCTCAACATGTTCTAATTAACAAAAAAGGGACGACAACGTCTGGTTCCTTGGTGCTCAACAACCTAGATGAAAACCAGGAATAAAAAGGGACGGCAACTGAGTTTCCGAGAAATTCTCCAACTTGGCTCTTCCAATTGAGTTCAGCAATCCATATGAAACCCAGGAAAAGAAAAGACACAGGCGTGCGTTGTCGGAGAAATTGGTCAAAGGAGTGCAACTCAGATGAAACCAAGGAAAACCCAGTTCTTGAATCCAACCAAAACTTAAAACCAAATTCTTGAAATCTTGAAAAAGAGAATAAAACCGATCAAAATCATTGAAAATATTGAACAAAAAGTAGATCTGATTATTGCTGCCATCACCATAGATACTGAGGAAATCATCATCGCCGGCGGGAATGAGAATGCAAAAAGGATTATGGAGGTTGAGGGAAATCGAAACAATTGCTGAAGCGGGAGGAAATTTGCAAAACCCAGGACCAAACAATGAGCGTGTTTTGTTAGCATCTCACCCGACTAATAATACCGAGCTTTTATGTGGGATAAGGAAGCGGGTGTGAGTTGCACTAAATAGGTAGGGTCGGACAAATTAATCGGAGTACTATTAATACATAACTACACCAAACAACCGGCTTCGTATTATTAATCCTATCCGGTCCCTTCTACGAGCTGCCAAACGAGGCCTTAGGAAGATTTTGCAATTCCTCGCAATTCCTCTTTTGGTAAATAGATTTTAAAAGGCTATAAAATTAATAGATTTGATAGGATTTGAAAATTCTTACAACTTTATATGAATTTCTAAGGATTTTATATGAATTTTTAAAGATTTTTGTGGATTAGGATGGATTTTTATAAGGACATTCTTTCATTACATATTTCTAAACTTTTATAGAATTTATTGATTTGGATGGATTTCAATATCTTCCTTATCTCTAATATGTGTTATTGGCCATTATTAAGAAATGGTTTGTATTTCTTTTACTTGTATTCGTCGAACTACTGATTGAAACTTACCCTTTATTTTGATCTGAGTCTACTCGCTACTCGAGAAAATGAAATAGTAGAATTTCTAATCCTCTTAAGTGACCAAATATACAGAAGGCCAAAACTACGCACTATTAACATGAAATGATTGCACATATATCAGCAACCAAATATACCAAAGAAAATAAAGCTTCCAACGATCAACGTGACATAGAATGCAATGCAACCTCTGCAATATCTAGTACCATCAAGTTACAACCCTTCTACCCCCTCCCCAGAGCTTCTATTGGCCTCTGCCCCAAAACGTACGAATAACATTTCTTCCCTTTATAAATTGCACACTGGCAAACAAATCCTTTAGAGAGTACCATGAGACATTGAGCAAGGGCATCCTCCTGGTGAAGGTGACATCGATGAAACTTTTCACCAAGACTACGAGTAGACAGAAGAAATTTTGTGGTACATTTTCAGGAATTTTAGTTAGTACCTTTTCTGAATTTTTGTTAATTTGAGCCATTAGCCATTGCATTGGATCACGGCTTCTAATTAGTCTATGTAAATCTTTTGAGTTTGTTTATCGAATGAAGTTGTAGGCAGCACTTGAATCTCTGTGTGTTGTTGTCGTCAGAATGTGTTGCAGAAGTTGTAGGAATGCATATAAATTATAACGTACAATTTTTCAAACTCATTTCATTCTCTTCCAGAACTATATATAAACAATTTGATGAACGTAAAATGTTGATATGCTCAGTTCTTGATTGTTTCATTCTATTGACGCTTAGCCTTCGTTCGGCGTCGAAAGTTCATTTTTACATCAACATGCTGCAACTTTCAGTACAAATTCATTGATGTTGTCATCTTTGTTTTACCCTACGCTAACCGACCTCATTCTCTTCCACAACTATATGTATGTTTGGTCTCGTTTATAGAGAAATGCAGCTTGGATTTATATCGATCGGGCTAATTATACACACCGCACACAAACGTACATCACCATGAAAGTAGGAAGAGACCGAGAGTAAGTATTATAAATCTAAATAACACTGGATAATAGCCAATATCTTAATTTGTTCGACAATTACGTTATTACATTGTTACATTAATAAAAAGAGCAAAGGAAGGAAAGGCTCACAATTCCAATCGATATGTTTCAAATCAAATGTATTAGTTAAGCGTTGCCAGTCACCGGTGAAATCAAAGTTTCCACGTATATAACGGCTTTCAAATACATAGCCGGAATTTCTTCAATACCAGGATTGTTGAGTACAATCTTGCATGTGTCTTCTTCCTCTTCATCTTCCTAGTATATAATACCAAGTCACCTTGACTCGATTGCATCAAAACTTCACCATCATCTTCCAGATGGCATATAGGCATCACCCACTTCACATCTGAAGGGAAAATCTCAGCGCGGATTTTTGCGAATATAGTCCAACATTGATCGACCCCATATATCATCATCACCCATATGGTAAGGCCAGCGTCCTCCAAGTCATGATGATTTGTAAGGTTATCGCAGGAAGTGTAAGAGAAGAGACGATTTCCAATGGTCCCCAGTCCCACAGCTGTAGTATATCCTTTATGCCTAATAAAGGAAAACGAACGAAATTTCTCCTGAGCGAAATCAAAGGACCAGATTTTTGTTCCCTTGTTACTTCCGTCAATCTGATTCCAATGTAGAGCTCCATTTAAGAAGCACCCTCCCCTACGGCTTCCTACCAAGGAAACATCGATGTGGTCTTCTTCAACAATCTTCCATGAACCCATTTTGAGTGCAAAGATTGCAACCCATCCTGGATCATTGGGATAATTAAAACTGCCCAAAAAGAGCTTGTAGTCTTGAGTGGTGGAATCATAGCCAAATCCATGAAAAAGTGGACCGAAACGAAACGAATCAATGTCCGGTAACTTACGGGCTTTTCTGGTACTAGGGTTCCACAAGAGAAGTCTGCTATTGTCGTAGTTTTTTGGATAGCATTCACTAGGTCGAGGGTCAAGTAGTAGGCAGATGAGGACATTGCAAGAACCCACAAGGGATGAATCGTTGAGACTAGTATCATCTGGAAATTCATCTTCAAGGTCTCTACGTCGGCTTCGTATTGCTGTTGCAGACGCGGAAGCGGAGACGCCGGAGGCAACGTTCTTCTTCTTCAGTGATTGGTAGTCAACGATTTGGGGAAATCGAGATGGCGGATCACGAAAATGACGGGAAGGGAAAAGGGGACGTTTAAAGATGATCAAGATATTCTTGTTGTTATCGTTGTAGTTGGTACGTCCTTGGTGCTTGGCGATGAAATCGAAAGTGGAGATTAAAGCACGCCATGACTGCATACACAACAGAATCAGAGGAGACATATGACTGGTAGCCGTGAAAGTATCTCCACGATTATATCATCGTTGGTGGAGGAGAAAATCGGCAATTTTCCATCGTCATCCGCCATAATTAAAAACTACGTCGATCTCTGTGGATGTGACTGAGAGAGCGGCTGAAGAATTGAAACGGGCAGATTCTGTTGCTTGTCTGAGACTCCTTGTAAATGCTTTGAAGGTTGACTCAGTAATATGGTGAGAATTTGAAGGTTGAAAACCATTACACCCTGACCCTACTAGTTGATCACCCCAGATCCTCTCCGGATCCCAAAAAAGTAAACTATCAAATTATTCGAACCATTAAAATTTGATCCAACAGCTATAAACAGGTGCTCCTTTAAAAGTTATAATAAGTGAAGCCGTTGAATCAAATTTCAACGGTCTGGATTATTTAATTCTTAAACTCAGTTTCTGGGGATCCGGAGAGGATATGGGTTCCTAGTTGATTAATCAAAATTCTGGCAGTGAACAGGAGGTTGATCCCACATATTGCATGTAAAATCAAGTTACCATGATCAACCTCAACCCTAAGCAGCTTCATCATATTGTTTGGTGTTGTTCCCTGAATTATTCAGCAATTGCTCCAATTTGACAATCAAAACGAAACAAAAAAACAAGCACTGAAATTCAATTTAACAGTGAATTATTATTGGGAGACAAAGACCTCGAGTTGGGGTTGAGAGGGACGAGGAGGGAGCTCGATCGGGATATGGATGCGCCGCTGCGAGCCTGCCAATGTGAGTGTCTGAGTGATGCGACTCTGAGAGAGATAGTGTGTGTTGTGATAGGGGTTGTATCAAACGGTGGAGATTAAGGGGTGGAACTTAGGATTTACGAAGCTGCTTAGGGTTGAGGTTGATCATGGTAACTTGATTTTACATGCAATATGTGGGATCAACCTCCTGTTCACTGCCAGAATTTTGATTAATCAACTAGGAACCCATATCCTCTCCAGATCCCCAGAAACTGAGTTTAAGAATTAAATAATCCAGACCGTTGAAATTTGATTCAACGGCTTCACTTATTATAACTTTTAAAGGAGCACCTGTTTATAGCTGTTGGATCAAATTTTAATGGTTCGAATAATTTGATAGTTATACATGAGTCAAAATAAACACACAAGAGGGAGCCTTCACAAAGGTTGCTTAGGAGAAGTCTCAGCAGTCGGTAGAGCCCCAGAAAGAGAAGGCACCGGAGGGGGATCATTTGGAGCCTCAGTACTGGACAGAACCCTAGAAGGAGGAGGCATCAGAGGTTGATCATTTGGAGCTTCATTACGCGGTACAACCCCAGAAGACGAAGGCAATAAATGCCTTTGGAACAAACCCACAAATCTCTGATGATCAAGTAAAACCTGACCATCAGTTTCCTTCATCTGGTCAAGCTTCCTCTTCATGTTTGTAGCATAGTCATGTGCGAGCCGGTGCAACTGTTTATTCTCATGCTTGAGCCCTCTAATCTCCTGTTTGAGACTCATCACTTCAGCCGCCAATGATTCAACTTGGCGGGTTCGAGCAAATAGGCGTTGGGCCATATTAGACACAGAACCTGCACACTGAACACTGAGAGCCAGCGAATCCTTAACAGCTAACTCATCAGACCGTTTGGAAAGTAGTCTGTTATCTTTGGGAGTGAGAAGGTTCCTGGCCACCACCGCAGCGGTCATATCATTCTTCATCACGGAATCCCCAACAGTAAGAGGACCAGTAGGGGAGACGAAGGATGGGCGCCATATGTTGTCTGGAGAAGGCGGGGCTGCCTCTTCAACAAGGTTCAAGTCAAAACGACGGTCGGAGGGGCCAGACATTTTCAAAGGTGTTGAAGAGAGAAGAGGTCGGACAAATCAAGATCTTAGAAGTGCAAGAATGAAGCTTCTACTGGTGGAGATTCAAGTGTGCTTTGGAACTTAATGCCAGCCCCTATAAAAATCTGCACTCGACGGAGCTTCAGAAATCGAAGAGGCGCCTGCTCAGAAATCGAAGAGGCGTTTGCTTTCTCAAAAGCTGGGCTGCTTAGAGATCACGAGGGTTGATCTCAGAAATCGAAGAGGCGTTTGCTTTCTCAAAAGTTGGGCTGCTCAAAGACCTCGAAGGCTGATCTCAGAAATCGAAGAGGCGCCCGCTTTCTCAAAAGCTGGGCTCCCCAGAGACCACGATGGCCGATCTCAGAAATCGAAGAGGCACCTACTTTTCCAGCCTTGTCAGCACCTGTCACACGCACACTCAGCTTTGCGGAAATTATGGGCATTCTGTCGAAGACTTCTGGGGAAGTAGAAAACACATGAATCTTACTGTTCAATCACACACTTCCCACACGCAACAATAGCTCATGGGTACCACAGAAAACTTTGCCAAAGTTCTCTGCCAAAGTTGAGCACGTGAAGCTTGCAGCTCCCACTACATCGCTCTGACCAAGAAGGGTAAAAGAATAGCAAAGAAACAGCACTAACAAAGTTTAGACCCATAAATTTTGAAGGTCTAGCTACCATATTATTACCCACAAGGGTAAAGGAACAGTACCACTACTGGATAATTGGAAAGTCCCTGTGTGTCAACCTCTGTGCTTCGTGGCAAGGTAGACTAGCAAACATGCCCAACCTTTACTCACATTCGAGAAAACACTCCCAATAAGATTGCTTGCTCCAAAATCGAAGAGGCACCGTCCTCCGAATCTCGAGAGCCAGACTCCCAACATGACTACTTTCTTAAAAATCGAAGAGAGGGTAAAGGAACAGTACCATTGCTGGATAATTGGAAAGTCCCTGTTTGTCAACCTCTGTGCTTCGTGGCAAGGTAGACTAGCAAACATGCCCAACCTTTACTCACATTCGAGAAAAAACACTCCCAACAAGATTGCTTGCTCCAAAATCGAAGAGGCACCGCCCTCCGAATCTCGAGAGCCAGACTCTCAACATGATTACTTTCTCAAAAATCGAAGAGACACTGCTCCCCGAATCTTCGAGAGCTAGACCCCCAACATGATTGCTTTCTCAAAAATCGATGAGGCATCGTTCTCCGAATCAATCGAAGAGGCGCTCGCTTTCTCAAAAGCTGGGCTGCTCAGAGACCACGAGGGCCGATCTCAGAAATCGAAGAGGCACCTACTTTTCTAGCCTTGTCAGCACCTGTCACACGCACACTCAGCTTTGCAGAAATTATGGGCATTCTGTCGAAGACTTCTGGTGAAGTAGAAAGCACATGAATCTTACTGTTCAATCACCCACTTCCCACACACAACAATAGTTCATGGGTACCACAGATAACTTTGCCAAAGTTCTCTGCCAAAGTTGAGCACGTGAAGTTTGCAGCTCCCACTACATCGCTCTGACCAAGAAAGGTAAAAGAATAGCAAAGAAACAGCACTAACAAAGTTTAGACACATAAATTTTGAAGGTCTAGCTACCATATTATTACCCGCAAGGGTAAAGGAACAGTACCACTGTTGGATAATTGGAAAGTCCCTGTTTGTCAACCTCTGTGCTTCGTGGCAAGGTAGACTAGCAAACATGCCCAACCTTTACTCACATTCGAGAAAACACTCCCAACAAGATTGCTTGCTCCAAAATCGAAGAGGCACCGTCCTCCGAATCTCGAGAGCCAGACTCCCAACATGACTACTTTCTCAAAATCGAAGAGAGGGTAAAGGAACAGTACCATTGCTGGATAATTGGAAAGTCCCTGTGTGTCAACCTTTGTGCTTCGTGGCAAGGTAGACTAGCAAACATGCCCAACCTTTACTCACATTCGAGACAACACTCCCAACAAGATTGCTTGCTCCAAAATCGAAGAGGCACCGCCCTCCGAATCTCGAGAGCCAGACTCCCAACATGATTACTTTCTCAAAAATCGAAGAGACACTGCTCTCCGAATCTCGAGAGTCAGACCCCCAGCATGATTGCTTTCTCAAAAATCGAAGAGGCATCGTTCTCCGAATCTCGAGAGCCAGATACCACAGACCACTTTTTCAAAATGCTCTGACAGAGTTAAAACATGTGAAACTGGCAGCTCCCACTACCGTGCTATGACCAAGCAGGGTAAAGGAATAGCAGTACTACTTGTTAGGGAGACTCCTATATATGTCGACCTCCATCCCCAACGGACAGGCAGACCTGCAAAAATGCTCAACCCTTCATCATATCTGAGAGGGCACTCCCAACGAAGCCTTTCGAAATATTCAGCTTTCTTTCCCCCCGATAATACCTCTGCAAACAAGCTATACTAGAGCAAGAATATCTCATATCATCAGGGTTAAAAGCAAGAGTATCCCATATCATGCTTTTTCCCTGTCTTTTCCTTTGGCCTTGTTTTTTACCTGCAAGACAAGGAGAAAGAGAGCAATCAGTCAGCACTTGGAATCAAGCTTCCAGCCAGGAACTGACTGCCTGGAACCCCTTACCTGATTACTTACCTGGCATTGCTCTCGAGTACTCATCTTCAACATCTTATGTTTCCAGGGAAGATTCCGCATCTGCTTGAGGAACAGATAGGGCAAGTGCGAAGGATACAAGGAAGCATGTGGAGACAAGCGTAACAGCACACGTGCCGATACATCCATTACTCTGTCAAAAGCAAAAGTATCCCATATCAGCAGGGTGGAACGTACTCTAGATTTGATGGACTTGTTTTGACCCTCAAATTCTTCAGTCGGCCTTATACTCTGGAGGAAACCAGAAAACCCTCCAGCTCAGTTTAAGAATAAGCCTGTGGAAAGTTACTTCTTCAAAAGCAAAAGTATCTCATATCATCTCTTCTCATTTTTTCTTCTCTTTATCCTTCATGCTGCTGCAAGATGGGGAGAAGGTGAACAATCAGTCGGAGCTCTGATTGCTTACCTTGTCTGTCACCTCTTTCAGCAGACCCCCTAGCTCGGCGACTTGGGGGACTCCTACTACATGGTTTGTATCGCGCTTGACCAAGCCTGAAACTACAAGTAAGCTTCAAGTGAAATTGATACATTACCTTGTGCATCTCCACCAGTTAAAGATACCACCCCTGGATGGAGGAAGAGTACTTCCAGAGAAGATGCCACATCTACCTATGAGACAGATAAGGCAAGTCAAGACGACACCACACTCCGATACTTAGAAGTTTCGTGATTACGAGATCATTCTCCCACAATATTTCCTAATGTCATTTGTACTAAATCATTCACTTGTACTCACTAAAGGAGAGCTTGAACCTATGTACTTGTGTAAACCCTTCACAATTAATGAGAACTCTTCTATTCCGTGGACGTAGCCAATCTGGGTGAACCACGTACATCTTGTGTTTGCTTTCCTATCTCTATCCATTTATATACTTATCCACACTAATGACTGGAGCAATCTAGCGAAGATCACAAAAAGCGACCGTTTTCGCTACCTAGGATCTATCTTGCAAGAGAACGGAGAAATTAGATGGAGATCTCAACCATAGAATACGAGCTGGATGGATGAAGTGTAAGAATGCATCCGGCGTGTTGTGTGACCGTCGTAGGCGACTGAAGCTCAAGGGAAAATTTTATAGGACGGCAATAAGGCCAGCGATGTTGTATGGCACAGAATGTTGGGCGGTGAAGCATCAACACGTACACAAAATGGGTGTAGCGGAGATGAGGATGCTTCGTGGGATGTGTGGGCACACGAGAAAGGATAAGATTGGGAATGAGGATATCCGAGGTAAAGTAGGAGTAGCCGAAATTGTAGGAAAGATGAGAGAAAATCGGTTCCGGTGATTTGGACATGTGCAAAGAAGGCCGAATAACGCTCCGGTTCGAAGATGTGACTACGGGACAGAGGTTCAGGGCCGAAGGGGTAGAGGAAGACCTAGGAAAACTTTGGAAGATACTCTAAGAAAAGACTTAGAGTACTTGGATCTAACGGAGGACATGACACAAAACCGAGCGCAATGGCGTTCTAGGATTCATATAGCCGACCCCACTTAGTGGGAAAAGGCTTTGTTGTTGTTGTTGTTGTTGTTGGTCAATAGATTTTATATGAACTTTTATAGAATGAGGTAAATAAATTTGAAATTTGAATAAAAATAAAAATTTATAAATTTGAAATTAATTTAGAATCTCATGTTGAAAAAACTTAGAATTTGGGACCTTAAATTCTAAAGTTTAAGATAACAAATTTTGTATTCAAATTCAATTGTTCTTTTAGGTTAACCAAATAAAAATTTTCACAAATTTTAAAAACTAAAATTCAATCATTTTGAATTTTCGTCTTTTTAAAATTTCTTAGTAATCTTAAATTTTCTCACCCAAACAAAGTGTTAAGAATTTCGTATGAATGTTTAAACATTTGTGTAGATTTGGTTTATGATGTGGATGGATTTTTATAAAGACTTTTTCTCTTACAAATTTATAAATTATTATAGAATTAAAAATAAATAAAACAAAAATGCTTTCAGAAAGAAATTTGACGTATATATTTTGGAGTAACCCCTATCTCCTCCCCAACGTTCTCCCCCTCCCAATTCTTCTCTCAGTAGATCTATTCTTATATCATAACTTCTGTCAAAATAAGTCACGTGTCACGCACGTGAAGCTGAATCAATGAGTAAATATGAAAAACCAAATAAGAAAGTTATAGCTTGGGTTTATATTGATCGGGTTGAGTATATACACCACACACAAACATACATGATCATGAAAGGAGAAATAGATCGAGAACAAGTAATATAAATTTAAATAACACTGGATAACAGTCACTATTTTCATTTGTACGAAATTTACGTTACATGGTTACATTAATAAAAAGAGCAAGGAACTAAAAGGGTAACATTACCAGTTGGTATGCTTGAAATCAAATGAATGAGCTAGACTAGTTTCCACGTACATAACCGCTTCCACGAATAGAGCCAACGTTTTTTAATACCAGGAATGTCGAGCACAATCATGCATGTGGCTTCTTCCTCTTCCTCTTCCTTAGGTATATATAATACCAAGTCACATTCACTCGATCGCATCAAGACATCACCATCGTTGTCTTCCAAGTTAGGATGGCAGGAACTTGTAAGATTATGACAGAAAGTGTGAAAGAAAAGTCGATTTCCAATAGTCCCCACTCCCGCATCTGTAGCATATTCTTTATGCATAATAAAGGAAAACGAATGACATTTCCCCTGTGCGAAATCAAAGGACCAGAATTTTGGTCCCTTGTTAGAGCTCCATTTAAGAAGCACCCTCGCTCACGGCTTTCTACCAAGGCAGCCTCGAGGTGGTCTCCTCCGACAGTCTTCCATGAACCCGTTTTGAGTGTTAGGCCATTGATCGTAAACCATACCTTTTATTCTCACAGCCTATGTTCCTCTGGTGCTGCATAACTTTCAAGTCAGGCCTTTGATCCTTTCTTCTTCACCAAACTCGTCGAATTCAGCGCCTAAACATGATGATGAAAGTGCTAGTATTTTTTATATTAAAGCTTACTGTGTGCATGGCCGCAACCTCGGGAGCGGTGGGTGTCGACGTCCATCTAATGAGTACTCCAATCAAATGTATCTGATACATGTCGCTGGACAGTTTGTTGGCTTTGATAGCAAATGTCTCAAGGGAAGTGATAACTCGACCTATTTACATAAGCTGTGCAATAACAGGGAACCCAACCAACAATGGACCTTCCAAACAGATGGGAAGATAGTGTGGAAGGATAGATATTGTATGAGCATCAAGGTCGTCGGTTTTGTCAGAGGAAAGACTTACAAGAAGGAAAGGAAGTTATATATTTCAAGGTCTATCTTTTGTACACGGATCAGGAGTTGGCCGACCAGTTTTGGAGTTTCGGCAAGTCAGTCAAGCATCTGATAACTAAAATCAGAGGGGTTTGATAGTGGTTATTGCATGGAGGGTAATCTGTCTTCAAACAAGTTGTACACGACTCCGTGTAAAGATTCTAATGACGGTCCTGTTACTCAATTGTGGTCATATTATCCTGACCATACCATTCGACCTGTCTAACCAGACCTTGTCTATCCCAACTCTGCATCACCGTCGATTATCCAATACCCGTCATCTCAAACTGCGAAGAGAACCGGAACAGGATTTGGTACTTCAACGAGAACGGCACCATCTCAGGATCGAAACATTTTGGATCCTTCATGCAAGAAAAAGAAGACCCAAGTATCACTTTGGGGGAACCCACATCGAACCCTGATCAACAATGGATTAATTCAATAATTCTAGCTAGGTTTGGGTGAATAAATAAATCTTTCTATTGTAATTGGGAGGTTATGCATTTTATTCTAGGTAGGATGCAGTGTTTGTGATTCTTTAAGTTGACGAAATTTTGGGACTGAATGTTCGTCAACATTCTAAATTAATGCAAGTTGATAAAGCTAGCTCAGCACTTCTGCTAGAGTTGTATGTTGTAAACACGATCGAATCTTCCAGATAATGGCTAAGCTAAAAGCTTTTGATAAGTAAGTGAAAGCAACATCAACGTACAACATTTCGAAATTTTTCTCAGTTTCGAACCAAAATTTGGAATAGAATTGTTCATGAATTGCCTAAAGAGAAAAAAAGAACACAACGGATAAGAAAACCTCTAATCAAACAAGCTGAATCCCATGTCATCATCGCTCTCTTCCTTTGCTTCTTCCTGCAAATACAGAACCGGAAAATTTAGATAACAACATCAATGGAACAAGTGTCATCCTTTACTGTCAACGAAAGTTGAAGTCTGGAAGAATCATAGAACACAACATATAAACTACAACACTACCAGCCTGTAAGTCTACTGCGGAAAGCAAATGCCAAAGCATCACAGTATCATCAAACTCAAATTCGAAAGGCAATAATCATCACACTCTCTTGGATCTATAACAATAAACATAGAGAACGAATTATGAGCAGAGATGATATTCTTACCTTCTTCTCCTCAACTGCAGGAGCAGCGGCACTGGCAGCACCACCTGCACCACCAGCAGAAGCAGTCACAGCTACGGGAGCTGAACCACCACTAGCGCAAGCATTCAAGAAAAGGTCCTCGAGGTTTTTATTTTCTGCAAGCTTGGCAAAGAGGCCAGGCCAGTATGACTCCACCGACACATTAGCCGATTTCACCAAGGCCGCGATCTTCTCAGCCTATTAAAATTCATTGTAAAATAAATTTCAAAACGAAAGGTACAACTACTAAACCAAAGGGGCATTTCCTATTGTTTTTACATTGTGTATTCTGGCTTCCTTTCACCACTCTAACAAAAGAAACCCGAAAATCTACATCCTAAGCAATATACAAAATGTATAAACAGATAAATTATATGGTTTATATATTCATATAAACGAGCAATATGATCTTAAACATATAATTTTGTAACACAAATTTTATAATTAGCAATTAAATTTAAATGGTAATCTGGATTATCCTACACGGAAATAAAGAAACCAATAATCTAGCTACAAAAACAAACCAAAGGGCATATCCTATTTTTTTTCACATTGTGACATGGAAGTTGATGATTGGTTTATTACTTAAGCATTGATTAACGTGCTCAATCATATTGGTGACACATCATTTAGTTAGCAAATTTAGTCTCCCTAGCATTACCCCTTTCACCAATCTAACGAAAGAAACCCAAAAACCTACGTCATAAGTTATATATAAACTGCATAAACAGATAAGTTACAAGGTTTATATATTCATACAAACGAACGAAATGATCCTAAACATACAATTTTCTAACACAATCACCCACCATACATCAAATTTTTTAATTAGCAATTAAATTATAATGGTAATCTGGATTATGCTAGGGATTGTAAACAGAATGCATATATTAATAAGTGGCTTATGAGGTGATTAGTTACTGATTAGCATAAACCCAGCGGGTATGAAGAAGTAAATCATAGAGATTAAAAGCACAGAACGAAATGAGGAGCGGTGCTCACAGTGACGGCGATGCCATCATCCTGAAGGATCATGGCGGCGTAGGAGCAAGCAAGCTCGGCGGTCGACATTGTATCGCTCACGAAAGACTTGGATGGGTAGCGCAACACAGAAGCAACGGAGAGAATGGAGGAGGAAACTAGGGTTTTGGAAATTGGGGTTTTATATCGCAGAGTTGGTAGTGTGGGAGTTGCCCCAAAAGAAAGCCCATTCGGATCGGTGGTGTGACTGATTTTTGGGCCACGGCAAATTCTGAAAAAGGCCCATTTGTTTCTTTGACTTTCTAAATACGAATATGCCAAGAAGAACTTTATGGTTTGTTTAAATGTGCTTTTAAAATAGAGGTATTCATCAATTCCCCCTCTGAACTTGTGATCATTGGCCAATTTCCCCTCTCAACTCTCATAATTAGTCAATTTCCCCCCTCAACTTTAATTTGGCCAATTTCCCCCCTCAACTCTCATAATTAGTCAATTTGCACTCTACTGTTTTTTTTTTTTTTTTTTTCCATCTATTCTTTTTTTTTTCTTTCAATCTTTCTAATAACTTCCAACAAAGTACTAAAATTAACATAAACTCACCTGCATAATATAGGGTAAAATGTACAATAACATAATACAATTAGTATGTGATATGGGTTGATTATAAGAAAAAGTTATGAATCGGGTTTAAAGCATGTAGAAGAAGAAATAATAATCCTAAACTCATGGATCAGACCTATTTCAATAAAATGTGTTATTCTTAATAAGGAGTCGAAAATTATGAATTGACTAGCCATTTTTGCACTAAAGCTCGATTCTCCACAATTTACTTGAATTTAGCTTTCACTTTTATAAAGAAAATTGTATTCACATACAAAAATGTACACATCAATCCTTTTCGTTATCAATTTTGTATAGTAAAAATCAAATAAAATTACTCCATACTGATTTGTTATGACTAATAATACTATCTATGATAAATTGTAAAATTCTAAATTTTAATCTATTTGTAATAGGATAAAGACATAGGAAAATGATTAACATACATTTTATTTAGTTTCTTACACACACTTGTTTAATTATGATCAAATTAAAAAATTAACAGTAGGGTGCAAAGTGACTAATTATGAGAGTTGAGGGGAGAAATTGGCCAAATTAAAGTTGAGGGGGAAATTGACTAATTATGAGAGTTGAGGGGGGAAATTGGCCAAAATTAAAGTTGAGGGGAGAAATTGGCCAATAGTTAGAAGTTCAAGGGGAAATTGATAAATACCTCTTTAAAATAACTGAAAACACTTTTAGTGAAAATATTTTTTGAACAAATTCTTAGTAAAAATGCAAGTAAATATTGAAAAATCACTTAAAATGTTTCCTGAAAGAAGCACATAACTAGTGCTTCTTACATAAAACACTTAAAGGGCTTTTGGAACCCCAAAAACAATTTCTCTAAAAACATTTTCAATCATTTTAAAAGCACATCCAAATAAGTTCTTAGTTTAATAGAAATCACTTATCACTTTAATTTAATAGAAATCACTTTTCACGAAACGCTTGTATGAAAGAAGTGTTTATCCCCTTTCACCTTTCACATATAGACGTCCCAAGTACAAGTTCCCCATTCGATGATTAAAACGTAAATGCATGTACCCATCTTGCTAATTTATACCGACTTGTTGCCGGAAACACATCGCAAAAATGCTACCGACGGCAGTCAACGGTTGTTGCCGCCATCGATACAAACAAAATTTCTTTCGCCTATAAACTAATAGCCAACACAATATAGGTAGTAGAGTCACAACTACAACATCTATAAAACCAACAGATTTCATGTCTTGTTTTAACCACATACATCAAAACACCGAAGCAAGCAACAGAAAATCCGACGTTATAACGCCTACTGAATATGTCCCGAAACAGACCAAGCACCAAAAAACAACCCGAGTTTTCTCGATAATTTAACAAACGCAATCCTTAAATGTATAATAACTAGGCAGTATCAAAAGCACACATACTGGCCATAACAAAGATAACCAAGGTTCTTAAAAACGAAAATTTTCAACAAGTTCACTCAGATATGATAAATCTTCGCAGATCTAACACACAAGGACGCCGCGAGGATGACTTGCCAGAGAATCAGGCACTACCAGACCGAGCCTGAAAATAGATCAAGTTTAAAGTAAGCATCAAAGGTATCAAATAAACGTGGTCTTTATTTCAAGAATGTGGTAAGCTTTTGAATTCAAAAGGATAGAGAAAAGATAGTTCGGGTACCCATCTACCACAAACAATCTACAACTCGAGGCAACTAAAAGCATAATTTTATTTTTTTCTTCTGCTTTTTTTCTCCACAACTTAGCTTTTATTCATCCTTTTCTCTGTTCTTATGTGCACTTTGCTAGTTAGGATAACTAAGGATTATATGTTAGCAGCCGGCATACATCCATCATAAGTCAGACCCATGGAATCAGAAGTATGAGACACATGTTGCCCTAGGTCATTCTTTAAATCCTACCCTAAACCAAATATATCCTGGAACATCTTTTCTTTACTCAAATTACACTTTCAAGTTTTTAATATCACATTTCACATTTCTATGGTATGTGCCGCATGAACTCGTTTTATCAGAATATATTCCACTTACCGCTCGGGTGATTCTGACCTGGACCTTGACCTTGACCTTGATATTGATCGTGGCCTGCAATAATATATACATGCATTAAATATTAGAAAGGGGAATTAGAGGATTAGAACCACCTAGCGGAAAAATGTATTAACAAAGCCAAATACCTGGAAGATTTAACCGGCGATGGAGACCTAGATCTTGATACTGATCTTGATTACTGATTTTGATACAGATCGGTCCAACGACTTGCTGCATGATACAGAACATCTCTCAAGATGTAGCACAAAAAGCAAAAAAAAAAATAGAAAACAGAGAAAGATAATGATAAAAGTTAATAAATAAAAGAATTGGGGTGGGTCCAGTACCTCCGATTCCTTCTCACACTTCGGCTTCTGCTACGACTTCGGCTTCTGCTACGACTCCTTGAGGGACTCCTATCGTAGTATTTAACCTGTACAGTTGATGCACAAACAAACATCACAATGTTTTCAGAGTGCCTCTAAGCCCAGCTATCACCATCATTACTGTAATGCATAAGTACATAAACTACTCTAGACCTCTCAAATACTTTGTTCCAGGATTACAAAATACAAACATATTTAACATAAATCAATGATTCACAATGGTACGGAAATATATAGCCCAAAGAAAGGACAGCAAGAGAAAACTTCCTTAAACGTAAAGGTTACCCGAATATGAGTCCTTGCCCAAGGATTTTTGAATTCAGTATCATCAAGCTTCCGGATCTGAAAAAAGATTAAAAAAAAAAAAAAAACGTGAGCTAGTGAATTAGGAGGAGCATAATAGCAGGATAAGGTCCAGTATTTCAAGTTTGTTTCAACAACTTACAGCATATTTCATGTCATCAGAATTTGTATAATCAACTAAGCCATAAGTCCCTGCATATAAAAAATTCCATTAGGTGAGATGATACAAATTTGAGAGCATATGCAAGATGAAGATCAGCTGTTTGGTACCAAGGTCTTTGATAAAATGATATGCTCTTTGGAGCGTAGACATTTTATTCTCTGATCCTTAGAATCTATACCTTCACTGTCACGAGAAACCTCAGCAAAACACACATCACCAGCTTTACGCATATGATCCTGAAATCAACAACCAGTAAGGTCGCCGGTATTGCACAAACGTTATTTGAATATAAAACTGCGAGTAAAAGTTTCCACACCTTCAAGTCTTGCCACGAGGCTGAAGAAGGGAGATTACGAACAATAACTGGACAAAATGAAATTGTGTGTCAAGCAGTAAACAACAGTTAAGAAAAAAATATAACTGAACCTTATGTAGAACATTGCAAAACATATCTAACTCATTAAAGTAATGTACTATCCTAGAAAATACACCTCGATATTCAGAATGACGTGAAACACCAAATCGGCCCCCACCACTGCCTCCGCCACTGCTACCTCGGTCATACCCACCACGACGATCACTTGAAGATGGGCCCCTACCACCATGGGCAAGTTCAACCTGTATTGAGGTTAAAGGAGACATTTATAAATGAAGCGATCAAAGACATGAAAGAAAAGAAAAAAAAAGATTGTTTTAGCAAGTAATAGGGATCTTTTAGTACCCTTAAACGGCACCCATCAAAGTTATACCCATCACGCCCCCTGATTGCATCTTCTGCATCCCGAGAACTCTCAAACTGAAAACCAAATACAGAGTATTGACCAGTCATCAGATAACAGGCTGTTGCAAAAACATAGTAATCCATAGGACCATAACAGAACCAACAGGGTAATGCATGCATCCAGCACATACAACCATTATAGGTACCTCAACAAAAGAATAACAAGGAGGACGCGGTGGAATCTTCAGTTCAATATCCACTATGCGGCCATACTGCAAAAGAAAATCCATTTTAGAATGATTATCATCAAAATACTTTTTACATCAGCAAATCACATGACTAGCACATGAATCATGATGAAAGTAAAGTGCAAACACTGAATTGGTTTTCTAATTTTCAACAAAAATTGACACTGCATATCATACACATACATTGAGCCATGTGCTGTTAAGTAAATTAATGTATTTTCATATGCATCAGAAAATCGAAAATAATTCAAAATGAATGAGATAAAGTTCAACAGAAGTGCAGGAAGCTTATATACAAAGAACAAGCAAAATTATAAGGGAAATTTCATGCAAACCTTGTAGAATAGATCTTCAACCTCCCATTCTTTTATATCTGAGGGAAGGTTGCCAACGTAGATCGTGCGAGAAAATCGGCCACTCATATTTGACAACAGAAGACTCCGGCTACAAACCTTTTACTGCAGTAAAAATAACAATTCCAGTAAATGTTTTGTCCAACAATTTTCAAAATAGAATGACACTAAAACTTTGGTATCCATTATTATTATCGTCCTGCATACACTCTGTTGACAATATGAAATGAAAAACAAAACCAAACATGAAGCAAACCAAGAGAGCAATCCTCGAGGTGAGCCGTGCTCCACAAGCTCCATTGCTCATTTGCTCCAAAGGTGCTCCAAAGCATTATTTATAGTGAAATAAAATTTGATCTCCTCATCCTCTCCAGAATTTTAGCAGATGTATAGATCTTCTGAGAGTGAGCAAGAATCTCCCATAATAAAAAATAATACCCATAAGTCCAAAATGATTTCTCCCACTCCCTCTCTATATCCCTATGTATGATTGCAAAGCTCATATTTGTCCAAGCGCTTGCCATCTATCATAAAGAAAGCATCTGTGTCATGAGATCAAGCAAGATTGACATATATCTATGAATTTACCTTACTCAGCCCTCTTTAACATAATTGAAAAACAAAAAACGAAAACCCTGGAAAACAAATTCATATCCCTTAGTTAACTTACTTTTACTAATTCTTGCAGCGTTGCATACATATATATATATATATATATCATATCGAGGGTAGGGATGGAGACATGAGTCTTTAGGCTCACATAATTGATAAATCATACGGCCACATTATGGGTTTTAATTTTATCATAAAAAAACCTTGTCAAAAGATGCACTTTCCAGCTTCATGGATTCTGTTTCTTGACCCAACTTCTCATTGAATTACATGTAGTATAAGTTGTACTACTTGGAGCAATAATCAGAAAGCCCATCTTCCTGATTTATGCTGCAATAAAAAATACATAAACCCGGGAAACGGAACGGGAAATTATGAATAAGATGAAATTCATCAATCAAACAATAATACTTCACCTAGACATGTAAAGAACCCTGCTCGATGGAACTTCCCTAAATCTATCACCCATAGTAGCTGAACCTATAAGGTATCCATCTAATCTCTACTTCCATAATTACTGATTGAGACCCATAAATGAGGGGGCGACATTAACAACATCTCCTTCCACCACACATCCAAGAGTCCTCGGGCTAAAGACCAAGCCAGCACTAAACCCCTTTACCTAGTCGACTTGATAAGCGAACGCTATTCAATCATTCCAAAAATGTGTATCTGCTGACAAATTCATAATTACATGTAAAAAACACAAAATGAATTCGCATCGAAACAGCAGAAATCATAATTACTTTTTTTGTAAAACATATCCACAAAATAATTAGAGAATCGTATCCACAAAATAATATCGATTCAAAACTCAAACAAAATAATCAAAGATTCAAAACCTATTAGTCGAAGAAAGCCTAAACACAATCGCGCACAGTTTTTACAAGCAAGACATGAATCGAATACTCATTGAACAATGCCAGCGCCTAAGAAAACCTAGACATACAGTATAATTAAATCCCACAAAACCCCCAAATCAAAAACCCTAATTGCATTAATGCCCACAAATGGAAAGCGATGGGGGAAGCAGGACGAGTATCAAACCCGAGATTGATTGGAGAGCTTGAGCGCTGGAGCGCGTGCGGAGGGTAGCCAAAGAGCCTGAGATTTGGGCGCTAGGGTTCCGCTTTCGCTTCGTCGAGAAATGAGAAGGAGAAAATTGGGCGTAGGGCACAGGGGAATTGGAAACTGCAAGAGAGAGAGAGACGGAAGTCGATTTTCTGATTTGGTTGATCGGTGCGTGATTTGATCTTGCAAATTTAATCTACGGCTGGCGTGTATTTGGGCCTTGGGCCTCAGATCAAAATTGGAATGTTAGCTCTAATTTAGGAATCAAATCTGGGGAAGGCCATTGGGCCTTAAAATGAGATAAATTGTGTGACCCAGTTCAAAATTTAACGCTCGTTTGGATGTACTTTTGAAATGACTGAAAGCGCTTTAGTAAAAATATTTTTAGAACCAATCATTAGTAAATATGCAAGTAAATCATGGAAAAACACTTTAAGCGCTTTTGAAACCCAAAAATTTTCTCTAAAAGCTTTTTCAGTTATTTTAAAAGTACATCCAAACGAGCGCTAAATAAGATTTTGTTAAAAACACTTCTATTGTAAGGACATCGGATTATAGCGTGTTTACCGACTCAAAATGATGAAATTCATGAATCGGAGAAGTACAAAAGTAAGAATTAGAAAGTGACTCCTGGTTGGGGATTTGAACATAAAACTTAAGATACATGGGTAAATACTTTTAATCATTCGAGCTCCAAACTCCTTCTCAAATTTCCAAAATATTAAATGACAAATTATACTGTGAAACTGGCATACTGCTTATCCCGTCAACAAAAATTAAGACTTTGAAATAACACAACATGCTATTTTGCTTCCTCAACCTTTTTCTTGTTCTTCTGGTGAAGTTGGAACGTTTGTCAAAGTTTTTGACTTGTAAATTTCGTTTTCCTGATCATTAATTCTGTTAACTAAATTTGACCATATGAATAGTAGTATTAGTTCAATTGCTTTCTTCTTGTTTTGGCTAGCACTTTGGTCAAGTTCCCTATTTTTTCCAAGACCATCCACATTCCACGTACCTTGTGTTTGGCCGCAATTACAAATTAGCTATGAATCCATGCGTGCAAATTGGTGAGTGGGAGAGGATATTCAAATTGCTTGGTCCCATCAGGAATACTATTGACCTGCATACATATCAATGATATCATCCGATATGAGCAACGTTGAATAAGTCCCACCAAGTACATATATGGACCATTTTAGTAAGCATTGAGTATTTTAGTGTATAGTATCATCTGGAATATTTGATTAAACGGTTAGCCAGTGACAAACGCATTAAGGGACTTGGGTCGTCCTGGGACCAACTAGAAGTCTGAATAAATGGCTGGGAGGACCTTTGGGGTGCGTTTGGTACGCAGACGGAACGGAACGGGACGGACGGGGACGGGACGGGACGGGACGGGACGGGGAACGAAACGGAGGTTCGTGTTATGTTTGGTACGCGTAGGACGGAACGGTTTGGATTTCGTGTTAAATGACTAACTTAGCCTTGTTTGTACAATTGCTGAGTGCGAGTATGAACTCAAACAATCAGACCCAGTTTTCGTTTTCCTTCGTTTTCTCGGCAACCAATCCAGTTTTCAGATCTCGTCACCAGCAAACCCTCCAACAATTTCAGATCTCGTCAAGCAAACAATTACAAGAAAAAAAAAGAAAACAAAATCCCAAAATCACAAAAAAAATCAAACACAGAAAAATCCCAAATTCATTTCAATCAATTTCTGCAGCTTCGTCATCGTCACCTCCCCTCCCTGCAGCGTCGTCATCGTCTTCCCTGCAGCGTCGTCATCATCCTCCGTGCACGTCGTCGTCGTCGTCGGCC